TGGTTTTTATTTGAGTGATGTGAAGAGAATTTAAAAATGTCTTATTTACAGACATAAGTACAGTCTTCTAGTAAGTAAGTCATAAAGGCATGGGTAAGTTTCACTACCTGTGTGATGCACTTATTCCTATCAGAGGGTCCAGGGACTGTCAGTATAATGAAGGTGTCTGTGTGGGTATGGCATTTTCTCATGCTACAGTCAGATTCCCAGTCTTCCCACACACACACACTGAGACACAAGGCTCTTTAGAGTCCATCAGAAGTGGCAACACATGCAAAGGAATTCAAAGAATTTGAATTTGGTCAACAAAAAAGAGAAATATGAGGAGAAGACAGTTCAGTAACATTTATATAATCTGTCAACTTCACTGGGTTCATGGAATCTCAGGAATAACACAGAGTCTAGAGAAGATATATTCCAGACAGGGACAGGAGGAATTTGGTACATTCTGACATCATTGACAAAGCTGGAACAAAGAGCAGTTTGGGAGTCTCTCCAGCTGGTCATGGAAAGTCAGGGAAATCTTATGTAATTTCCTTTTATTAGGTCTTTAGTAAAATCTTAAAAATGGAAAATTGTCATCGTAAGAAAACAGATTTAGTTAGGGTAAAAGCTGTAATCACATGTAGTGAGTATACCTTTACACGAGGAACCGCTTCAATAAGAATGAGTAGCACATGCCGTCTGCATGGATATGTCATTTTGAAGTACAGGTGTTAATATTGAAAGCAGCCTGGTGTGTTCTTGTTGCTCCTGAGCAGCTGTATATTAGAGTTTGGTTCAGGTTTGAGTGTTTTTGTTGCTGTGGGAGTTTTCCTGCTGGGCAGTGTAACACCTTATCATCCTGCCAGGTCATTTTTAAGAGGCTATGGAAACGTGAACAGCAGAATGAAGGAATGAAAGAATGTCTAACATGTGACAACTGGACTCAGCTGATTCTGTTTTCAGCACTGTCTCTGTCTGATTTTTTTTCTTCATAATGGCTCCCTTCAGTGATGAAGTGCCTCCTTTCACGTGGCTCCAAAGACTATTTCATAACAATACAAAGGATATGTAGTTCATGTTTCCATACATACATAGAGCTCTTAGGGTCGTATTACATTGTATAAAGTGAGATTTCCCTGTCTTTTCCTGTCATGTCTTTTTATGCCTCCACACCGTCTGTCCGTCCCATTCTTGTGGACACAATATGTCAGTAAGGCCTTGAAGGAACTTCGTCAGATTTGGCACAAATGTCCATTAGGACTCAATGATGAACTGATTTTTCAAGTTATAAGTTTAGCTTTACTTAAAGGTACAGGCAAGAGCAGGTAAGGGTTTAGGCGAGGGGTGAAGTCAGCAGGTAGGCAGTTGTCAGTAACAGACGGGCAGGAACACCAGGCCAAAAGAGAGCAGGCAAAAGGCAAAGGCCAAAAACAGGTAAGTACAAAAAGGGCTGGAAGGCTATGGCTGGGATGGCACAATAGACAGAGGCAGAGGTGGATCGGTATATACAGTATTCTAGGGAGCTAATGAGCGAATTGCAAACAGGGGAACAGATCAGAATCAGATGACTGGAAAGGGTGGGAAGAGCTGGGGTTACTGCAGGGCAGGGTCTAAAATCACAAGACAGTGAATCACGGTGAAGCAGGCAGAGAATGAATGAATTATGACAACCACATAACTCTATATTATATATTGCACTACACTACTCTTATTTAAACAATACTCCCATAGCTCTCACCTTGTCTTGCCTACTAACTACTCAGTACAGTTAACCAGTGTCCTGACAGGATTAATCGAGGTGGGTAGGTTTAATCTATCATTGCTTTTTACTGCACAAGCAGAATCATTACAGAGACAAGTAATTAGTGAGGTTGAAGGCTGAAGTGAATTTTAAAGGTACTTTGAGTTTCTGGTGTGAAGCTCTCTGTGCAGCTATTTGCTGGGGAGGACAGGGAGTTTGTGTGACTCATGTTGGGCCACAACTGAAGTGTTTCTCTTGGCCGGTGTGATGTGTTTCTTTAGGACGTTTCCACATGTGAGGACTCTCTCCATTCACATAGTCTGACTACAAGCCCACAGCACCCAGTTCTCATTTTCACATCTGATCCTATATCACTGTCTGGATACACGGATGAAGAACTTATAGCCAACAACAACCACCTGAAGGTAAATATCCCACTGTTACATTTACAACTATGTCATATTATCTTAATATTCATTTATACATTTTTTATAATCATAATTTTTGGGGTCACACAAGAATAACCAACTGTGAATGTGTGTGTTTGTGTGTGTGTGTGTGTGTGTGTGTGTGTGTAGTTACCCATTCCAGAAGTGAATGAGGAGAAATGCTGGGAAACAGAGAAGACTGAGCAGAGCCCACCTGGACAAACAGCCAGTAATAGGACACGATCCAATTCAACCAGTATGTATCATGCAGTTTTCACTCAATTGTAAAATTAGCATATTGTTTTATTTATTGATAGTAACTAGTACTGCGGTTTACCTTTACATGCTTTACATGGGTCATTGGATAGAAAACTCCACAAACAACAGACAGAGACAGTCAGGAGTAAGGAGAGACATGGAGATGGGAAAATGGTTTCTAATATGTTTAGGGAGCAAACTCCTTTTTGCAGAGATGCCACAGTGCTTATGGGAAATGTGGTCCTAATTGTGGGAAAACCTAGCCAACTAGCCGTAGATACATTTGCTGAACAAATTCATAATGTCGGTAACAGCAAGTTAGCTAACATCATCATGTCTACTGTAGAACCACAAGTTACTTACACATGGAGAAGAAAAAGTAGTTCTGAGTCCAGCTGGACCTCTTAGGGTTCTCCTCTCAGTAAAACCAGACCAGTATTGGTTCCACGGTCAGACTGGGAAAGAATTCAGTCTTATCTGGTGGGACTGGTCCACACGAATGACAGCTGGTAAAGATTTAAAAAACTTAATGGCGGTTCCGACAGTCCCCATGGTCAGTCCACCTGTATTCTGATCTTATCTTTTTCTTTGTCTGAGGCCTTTTTTACGTTAATTTTTTTTTCATATAACCTTTATGGACATAACGATTAAGATAATTATGGTTAATTACGAGTAAGAAAATATGGAAAAAAATTCAGTAAATTGTGTGAGCTGGACCAAATATAGGCAGACATAATATAACAAACAATAAATGTTAATCACAATATTTCTAAGTTGACAAAGAGCTGCATGCATCATGATGCAGGATGCTAGAATTAGAAAAAGTCTGTTCTAATGGTGGACGAGAAACTGTGGTGCCTCCCTGAGGGCAGATAGTGAGCAGGGTGGTCTGATCAGGTGTACTTTCATCTTCATCTTCATAAAATATTATAAGAGTGACAATAGTAAATGTAACATGTTACATCCACCTCTGGGTATCACATCACAGTACAAAGTAAAGCTGTTTATTTGCTGGTCACTCTGTATGATTACAAGTTTATTACACTTGGTGTCGTGGGTTTTACTGAAGATAAATGTTGGTCCTGGACCTTTTTTTTCAACCTTATCATCTAATGAAATTGTCTGTCACCAGGTGTTCAGCCTTACTGGATTGGGGATTTGGACAGCATCATCATGAAGACCCCAGAGTTGTACACTAGACATCCTCATGGGAATGGTGGTTTATATGGAAACAGGAAGTCTCTGTCCCAGCAGCTGGAGTTTCCTCACACCACTACACAGGTATTTGATTTCTCTGATAGTCGAAACAGTAATACATGAAAAGTCAATACATGAAAGGCCACACTTGATGACCACAATATGTGTTTATTAATGTAATTGTGAGGATAACACAAAGTAAAAACAAAAAAGAATAAAATATGATCAAGAATTGTCCTCAGAATTGAGGACGTAATTGAAAACTAGTGTGGAACAGCTTTAAACAAATGAGATCATTGTGTCCTGCATTCTGCCTTGTGACAGCCAGTTTGAAATAGTGACTGAAACGCAGTCCATTAAGACTACATGTTAACCTACAAGCCATTCCCAAGCTGCTGCTAAAATCCAGATTTTATAACCATGAAGTTGTCTTACAAAATCACAAAGAGTGAGCTGTGATTTCAGCTGTATTTCCTTCAAAGCGGGAGGAAACTTCGCACATCTATTCGGTGAGGCAGGTGCGTGGGAGCAGGTTTTTTACGTGGCATACAAAGAAATCCTGCACACTGTCTGACCAGACGTATTGTTGTTTACATGTTATTCAGATCTGCTAGTTTCTTTAGTAGTTATCCGTGACCTTTCTCTCTCCCTCCCTCTCTCCTGCTCTCTCTGCTCGGTGTGTCTTATGTTTAGTTATTCCTCTGCCTCCTTTAGTAATAATGATACGTGAAATTAACGTGAAGTTTATTTGCTGTAATTGAGGCGAGGCTCAGTGTAGTGGAAGTGCTCCTCCTCTTCCCTGCAGTTCCTGAGCAGCCGGGAAACCAGAGCAGCCCTAAGCCCCCGGTCAGCATCTATACATGGTCCAGTCCTGAACCAGGTTTATACCCAGTCTGTTTGAAACAAAGTCTCTAAATCTAGAGACAATGAGCTAAGTTGTCAACACTGCAGCTGTATACACCCCTATAATAAAAACTGCTTTTGCCAATTAATATTGCAAGAGCAATGGCCAACTCCAACTCACTCATCTGGCATGCAGCTGATCAATGGTGAAATTATGATCAGTCAGTCAGTGACATTCAAGATTATGGCTGACCCCGCTGTTGTGGTCCAACCCAAAAAGATGACAAATCATTGACACTGGTTTCCAAAAATATGTAACGATGCACAGTCCTAGCAACAATAGAAGACTAGGGTTGTACTAGCATGTTAGAATTCACATGGTTGCAGACGGTTCACTGTTATTTTATGCTGCACCTGAGAACCATAATTGTTGCTGCTGGTAGTTTGATCATGTGAGCAAGAAAATTTAAGTATTGACTGGTAGTAGTAGTAATTCCATGCCTTGTATGTGTTTGTGTGTTTGTGTGTTACATGCTGCTCCTCTCCAGCCTGTGCACCGCCCCTCCCGATCTCTCAGCTCTGCCCAGCTGGTACACTCCTTTAGCAACATGCCAGCTTTCATCATCTGTAATATTGTGCTGATGAAGGGCCATGGCAAGGTAGGTATCAAACGCCAACACAACCACCACCAGCCTAGGTGTCCTCAACCACCCCTGCTCTCAGCAGACCATAGTAACTACTTGACAGCAATTCACCTACACTGCTTAACTATGAACCTTTTCACATTTTCATATCTTGATTTTTATGCTGTTCAGACTGTTATCTGCAGACACAAGACACCTCACCCACCACGTTTTCATTCCTCAGCTGCAGTTTATTTATTTATTACAACTTAATATTTCATCAGCTGGGCCGCTTCATTTGTATTTCAACAATACACTTGTATGTGGTGTAAACAGTACTTCTTGTTTTTAACTCAAGGTCCACTTGCTACCTTTTTACAGAGCTTTTAACTGCATTTGAAGGTCTTCATCAGCAAATGGAGTTTGCCCAGGATCAGTCTGAATAATTTAAATATCTTCACTAAGTCTGAGCATCTTTACATAAACTACTCAAAACATCATCTGGATTTCTAGTCTTAGTTTACTTGTCTTATCTTTGTAAATGTGAACCAGCATTTGTCAAAATGCTGTTCCTTTAATTATGATTAAAATTATGAGTGTGATTATACTGTTGTTTAAAATGTCAGTGTTAATGTTATTAATTCTGTTTCTGCTGCTGTTCCCAGGGTCTGGGCTTTAGTATTGTGGGTGGGAGGGACAGCATGTATGGACCAATGGGGATCTATGTGAAGACCATTTTCCCTGGAGGGGCAGCTGCTACTGATGGAAGACTGCAGGAGGGTGAGGAAGAACATAAACACAAAGCTCATACACACTTTATGACAAGTGTCTTAACCTTATCAGTGACAGTCTTTTTCCATAACTGTCAAATGTAACTCCATAAAGGTCTATTTGATTCATTTAGACATGAGAACTGTGTGCATGATAATTCCTCCACATGAGTAGATGTTCAGCCTTTAATACTCTCATGCCTCTGACCTCCCTGTGTGTCTGTACAGGTGATGAGATCCTGGAGCTGAACGGAGAGTCTCTACATGGTCTGACTCATGATGAAGCCCTGCACAAGTTCAAAGTGAGGCAACTGCATTATTCCTGTATTCCTGACAGTTCAAGGTTTTTTATGATCAAAATAAAACAGAGGTGGTAACACTGCCATGTCCCACTGAACCCTATTCAAAAATGTGAAAAAAAGACAATGTGGCTTCACTGACTCACTAAGTGGAAGAGTCTGCCATGCAGTTAAAAAGATGGGGCCACCAGTATAATACAATACAATACAATATAATCCATCCAGTAATTTGACATCATTTTGAAGTCCAAGCATTCAGGGATAGATTTTTCATTTATTGATAATAAGATCGGTCTAGGAGTGTTTTAAAACTTAAAACTTAAAACTTCTTTAGGAAAATTATCTTTGTGGATTTATAGATTAGAATATATGGAAATCTTGCATCTGAGTTTTTAGTTAGTATTGTGGTGAAAAGGGCTTGTTGTATCTTTTGCACTGTATTACAAGTTTTTAATATTCACTCAGGTTGGACTCAGGTTTAAATTCTGTTGTCTGTGTTTTTTTTCATAATTCTTTTTTATTAACTATTGGCATGAATATGTTCACAGGTAGATTTAGAACTTGAATATACCACACGAGGTTGTAAATCTGACTTCAGATCATTTCCTTATACTCTATCCCCAAACCAGTTGACACAAGTAACTACTGGTGCATAGTAGTTCTTAAAACGAGTCCAGATGTGCAGCTGCCGCAATTCTTAAAACAAGGTCAAATTACTTGAAATAAGATTAGTGCTATTCTGGTTTCTAGATAACAAAACTTGACACAGAGCCTTACACAACCAGGTTTTACCATCATGTGCTAACCATTTAGCCACCAAACTAATGACATTCCCATCAACGTTCAGTGTACTTTGTGTTTAGCAGTAATTAACAAAAATTAGCATGTTAGCATGTAGTTACAGCCTCACAGCTCTACTGGCTGGAGACACTTAGTTCTCTATTTCAACAGTCTGCAGTGCATGGTGCAAGTGTATTTGTCCATATCCACCAAATGTCAGTTTAGTTAGTATAAGGTGGAAAAAAGGGCTTTGCAATTTCAGTTGAAATAATGGAAGCATCGGAGAGATACTTACAACAGTTGATATGCCAACGCTGACAACACTTGATCCTCACTTGATTATCATTGGAAACGTAAGAGCTGTAAATAAGTCAACTGTCAGTTAAAGACAGAAAGATAGAAGTAGTTCAACTATTAGTTGACATGTTAAAGCTGAAGTGTAAGTGAAAGTGTATGTGATTAAAGTATTAGTGTCAGTGGAAGTGTGACTGTATGATATGAGCATATGTGCACAACTAAAAATGATGTATTTATTTTCAACAGAGGTGTCTATGACTGCATTAGTGATGCTTGGTTTTGTCAAACCACAATGTACCATTCCCACTACGTGTTTTATACAGCTAGTATATTAACGTAGATAAACAGCTGCCAAACTCCAAGTGAGCACCTGCTCCTTTATTGATAATCTTCGTGCATGAGAGGTGAAAATTTATGACTGAAACTGTAATAAACAAAGAACAGAAAAGACCTGTAGAACTGTTGTGAGGAAATGTCTTAACTAGCACAGCATAGTTATGATTACGACACAGCTGGTCAATAAGTGCTGCCATTACCCGTCAGCTGAATCACAAGTAAATGATATGCTCAGACTGTCATACACTAGCATGTAGCATTATTGTAAATTAGCATCACTTCAACACCAGAATGACTTCCTATTAGTATCAACCTGCACACCAACGAACTAACACTGTGCATAGAAAGTCAGTCTAACTCAGTTATACACAATTAAGGTATTAAACAACCAAAACTTATAGCTGTTGCTTTCGAGGGCAGAAGAAAAGTGTAAGACACAGCAGAGCCTCTCACCATGGACACTACTGAGGGCTCCCCATCTTACAATGCACAGCATGTCTCTTGCAATGTTTCAAAATAAAAGTCCATCGCGAGGATTAGCAGGATTAGCATCTTATTAGTTTATGGCATTATGTGATCTGTTCAGTAAGTAACACATGAAAATTAAATCACCTCTTGTACAAGTCAATCCTATTCCATTCACTTAACAAGGTCTGTTCACCAGTGTTATGTCCACAGATTTATTATCATCTTGGCAAAGTGGGAAACTGCCCTGGAGCCCAACTGTTGGATCTTTGTGGTCATTTGATGAGTTGCTATTTGTTTAGTATGACTGTGTGCGTCACTAGAAGATCAATATAAACTGAAGTGACTGAGGCCTCCGCCTTGTTGAGAGGCGCTGAGTTTAAATCTAGTTATTCCTCCGTACCGGCAACAGTCAGAGCCAGAGGCATATGGTTTTCGGGTTGTCTGTCTATACCATCATTCCTGTGGACGCAATATCTCAGTAACACCTTCAAGGATGAATTGATTAGATTGTGGTTGTCAAAGGTCAAAGGTCAAGGTCACAGTGACCTCACATAACATGATTTTGGCTTCCTTAAGGGAATCCCTTCAAATTTGACACAAACTTTCACTTGGACTAAAGTATGAACTGATTAGACTTTGGTGGTCAAAGGTCAAAGGTCAGTGTGATGACCCAAAACACTTAAATTCTAGTTTTAAAGCCTTTATTATTCCAGTGTAGCTTGTTCTTACATGCTGCATATTCCAAAATGAATTTGTACTGTGATCAAGTTAACTCAAACAAATATGAATTAATTAATACATATCCAATGCAAAGAGAGTAGGAGAGACAGGCAGATTGGTGGTGGCCCAGGGCTCATTTTTACTGGTGGGAGAATCAATCCAGCCCTGGTTACATCTTCAATAAAGGATCAAACCCACTTACAAAATTTCTAAAAGCATGTCACATTGATTTGAAATATGAAAAGTGTTTTAAATATCTTTGTGCAGCAAATCAAAAAGGGCCTCCTGACTCTCGTGGTGAGGACCAGCTTACGTGTGGAGGCCCTGTGTGGTCAAGCACAAGTGGCTCAGCTGTGCAGGTCGCGCTCCCTCAGCTCCACCACAGGCATGGCAAGGATCAGTGCTGACATGGGAGACAGCAACTACCTGAACAACAGCTGCAATAACACGCTGAGCATCCCCGGTCAGCCTGCTAAACCAAGAGACCGTATCATGATGGAGATCATCCTGCAAAAAGGTCGACAGCCAGGGGAGACAGCAGTTATTGATTATGACAGTCCATTAATCTTTGAAGTCTTTTTGTGTTTTATCATTTAAAATACCGATAGTTTCCAATTACAGTTTCTCTGATGGGATAAAGCTAAGTGGTCAATCAATCACTAATAAAAGCATGTGTTAGTTTGCTAAAAGACAGTTGGTACCTGATGTCCATAGTTCTGTGGTGCACCAGAAGTGAAACAGCAACCTTTAATGATGATGATTATCACAATAAAACTTGATTTGTATGTGTCATTTCCCAGAGGTTGGTGTTGGTCTGGGTATTGGACTGTGCTGTGTTCCATCTAATGACGGATGTCCTGGGATCTACATCCACACCCTCTCTCCTGGATCTGTAGCACATATGGATGGTAGACTCCGGTAAGGAGCGAATTACAACACTATACGAAATGGGAAGCCTACAAGTAACTACACTTAGAAATGAGAGCTCATGTGACGGAGTGCGATTTACTACAAGCTACTAAAGAAGTGGATACTGTTGGTTACACCATGTATGAGTTAGAAGCCATTGACTTTGTATGAATTCACTGAGTTATTCACTATGTATTTCATACAATTAGTGTATCGCAGAAAATAAGAACTCCTGTAAACAGGATGTATGTATATGTGTCAAGTCCCTCAGAGTTCATTTTCTCTTTCTTTCCGACGCCTTTTCCTGAACTTTCCTCTCCAGGTGTGGAGATGAGATAATGGAGATCAATGACACAGTGGTTTACAACATGGCGCTGAATGACGTCTACACAGTCCTGAGCCAGTGCACACCAGGTCCAGTCCACATCATCATCAGTCGCCATCCCGACCCCAAAGTATGCAAAGCCACAACTTGACGTTTATTTTAGTCAGTGTAGATTTATGTGTGTAAAAAAAAGTTTATATTTAATATAGTAACTACAATCAGCCTCAACAAAAGGCTGAAGTGTAGTTTTTAATAACGCTGTAGAATGTAAACTCTTCACCTCATTCTAATGTTAGGAATTCCCAGAAGCAATATAAGAATATAAAATACTGAAAATATGACCTTGGAGTCCTCAGTGGTACCTACGGTGATGAAACTGAGTCTAATATGTAACAGCAGAAAATACCATTAAACACACAGACTGTATCTTCTGCCTCTAGGATCTCCCAATCAAAATAACAAGAGACAGTGTTGGGTGTTGTCATGTTGTTGTTGTCACCACCATTCCTTTCCTTCAGTATCAGTGGTTCAGGAAATCAAACAGACCTGGTGATTCTAACTGTTAAAAACACTGAATGAAGCAGTTTGACATGTAAAGTCAGTGTTGGAGCGACGCTGTACGGACGACAGAGACTCAGGGAAGAGTTGGAGCTGAGAGTGTTGGATGCACGGATGTCCGCACGAGAGTCTCATGTACACCCTCTGATGACGAAATTGACGCCATGTGGCCCCTAGAGAAAGTATCACATTGGTGTTAGAGTATACACCAAAGGCTGATGTTTGTACTGTAATGTTGACATTCCCCATATTCTGCACTCTGCACAGGTATCAGAGCAGCAGCTGAATGAAGCTATCACTCTGGCAGTGGAGAACAGCAAACTGAGAAAGGATAAGAGCCAGTGGAGTATTGATGGTAAAATATTTATTTGTTTTCCACAGTGACATTTCAATTGAGGCTTATGGCTGGTCTGGAACTTCCAGTACTTTTCTCATAGCACCTGTTCTTCCCATTTTTGTCTTGACAAAAGCATCTAATGTTGCCTTGCATGCTGCCAAGATGATTCATTTCTGTGTAGATGGATGCTGTGACTTTTTTTATTTGTAACTTTTATGTGTTTTGAGTTATGAAAGTTGTACTCCGGTAATTTTGTTCCATAAAGTTTGGGTACACACATAGACAGTTTAATTAAAGAATGACTCCAGAATGATTGAAATATTAATTTTATTAGGTTCCGGGTTCGAGTCCCGGCTCGGACGCGGGGTCTTTCTGTGTGGAGTTTGCATGTTCTCCCCGTGCTTGTGTGGGTTCTCTCCGGGTTCTCCGGTTTCCTCCCACAGTCCAAAGACATGCAAATGGGGACTAGGCTGATTGGTTACTCCAAATTGACCATAGGTATGAATGTGAGAGTGAATGGTTGTTTGTCTCTGTGTGCCCTGTGATGGACTGGCGACCTGTCCAGGGTGCACCCCGCCTCTCGCCCAAAAGGATGCTGGGATAGGCTCCAGCCCCCCCGCGACCCTACTAGAGGATAAGCGGTAGACAATGAATGAATGAATGAATATTTATTACTAAAATAATTCATTGTAGTTTCAGATGTGTTTTTTGTTCCAGGGCTGCGCAGGCTGGAGTCGTGCTCTCACAGCCGGCAGAGATGTGAGCATTGTCTAGAGAAGAGTTTCAGTCAGCTGTCGGTTCGACGAGCACAGAAGACCATGACCCGCTCCTGCAGCGACAACACCAACAGCCACCACTACAACCACTGCCTGGCCCTCCACAACCTCCACAACACACACCATAACCCACCAGCCCGGGTCCACAGCCTGGACACACCAAAGGTAAGCAGCCATACCACAGGTTGTATGGACACAAGATACAGATTCTGGGATCAGTTAGAAACTAACTGCTGCTGATGTTAATATTACTGCTGCAACTGCACGTGTGGATTTATTTTCACATATCTTGCATTTTCCTGTGCTGTTTGAGTCATTTCATTTTTTTGAAACAATTGAAAATGTGACCTCTTTGGATGTGTAGTAGTGTGTCTGATCTTGTCTTCCTTCCCTGTCCTCTAGTCTATGACGGACACATGGTCTGAGAACAGACTGTCAGTGCCTGTGTATCCTGATGAAAAGTATAAAATCCCATACAACTCTCCAGCCGCTAACCTCTCCAGTCAGCAGGCCCTGGATCTGGCCTACAGGGGCAACAAGGTACCACACCCATCCATCCATCTGTCCAGCCATCCGTCCATCCATCCATCTATTATATAATTCAACAGTTACACCATGAGCAAGCAGATGTCAACAATGGAGAGGAAAAAACTCCCTTTTAATGGGGAGAAATTCTCTGACAGAACCGGACTCTGCCTCAACTGGTCGGTTTGAGGGGAGAAAGGAGAGAGAAAAGCCTGATCTTAATTGTAGAGCGGGAGTCTGCCTCCTGAACACAGACTGGGAGCTGGTTCCACAGGAGAGGAGCCTGCTAGCTGAGGGCTCTTGGAGATTCTAGGGAACATGAGTCTGCATTTTGAGAGTGAAGTGCTACCTTACAGGGAGCCAGTGCAGAGAAGATATGGGATAAATATTATCTCTTTCTACTTCCTGTCAGTATTCACTCTGCAGCAGTTTGGATCAACTGAGGCTTTTCACTGAGACATCCTGATAATAAAGAATTACTGTAGTCCAGTCTAGAGGTAGCAAATGCATGGGTCAGTTTTTCAGCATCCAAAGGTAAAATAAGTTTTTAATAATTTTTTTCACATCTTCAGTCTTTTAGAAGAAGTCAACTTAGTTGAACTTAGTCCATTCATCCATTATCTACACCCATGTATCATGTTCAGGGTCATGGGTCCGGTACTCTATCCCAGTATTCACTGTGTAGGAGGCATGGTACAGCAGGGACAAGCTGCCAGTTTATCATACAGAAGTTCTGCTACAGGACTAGAAGACTGGCACTTGAGAGGAAAGGGATGGGTTTAAGAAAACTTTGCACAATTATATATATATGTCACAGCATCAGAATCATTTAATACAAAATACAATATAGTACAAGAAAAAAGGTTACCAGGAGTCACTGAAGATGGGTGTGGTCCAATGAGTACTGAGTACATTACATTACATAATTGTAATAATGTAGTTACGATAATGATATTGTGCGAGAGACTGTGTCATCAGTTACATGTAGTAAATTATCAAACCTTCGGCCCCCGTCTCTGTCTACATATCTTCTCTTCACTTTCAAAAGCTGACTTCAGTGCAGACTGCAGGAAGAGTACAGTCAGAGGAGCATTTCATGCACAAATGTTCTGTATTATTTCAGTAATTCTTTGCTCTACGCACCATCGGCACACAGCAGCTAAATTAAGTACAATGTTCCACTAGGTTCATATGATAGCTCACATGGTTTACACAGTTCACACAGAGTTTAATGGGTACAACAGCCAATCTAATGGTCATGTGACTTTCATAAAGACATAATGCAATGGGATCACACCAGCCACAAAGCCCATGACCCCGGAGTACTCAGTAGTCATTACTACATTATTACATGAGTACTCTGTACTCAGACATTTAAACACCTGACAAAATACTGAAACTGCTTCTGTGGTAGTTCCTGCTACAGTAGGTGTCTCCAGGACCACATTATGCCATGATGACACACACAGACTCACAACGTGAAAACGTTCACTCTTAATTATAACCCTGAAGGCTCCACCAGTCCCATGACTCCTGGGACAAGTGCCAGTAAATGTGAAGATACTGTTGACAAGATGGTCGAAAGAATCACAACATGTTCAGGGTCACTTCACTTAGCATTTTAGATCCTGTCTTCTTGCTCTCAGCGGTGTTTGTGTGTGTGTGTGTGTGTGTGTGTGTGTGTGTGTGTGTGTGTGTAGTCCAACTTCAGGGTGCGTGCTGCTCCACGTTGGTACTGCTGGCCTCATGATGTGACGAGCGAGGAGGGTTATAATGGAGACTCCAGCGGTTCCAGTAGAGAATCTCCAGTTAGAGATGAAGGACTGGAGCCTTCATCACACACCAGCTGCCAGGTACAGCACTCTAAACACAGCTGCTGAACAACACACTGAGTGGTTATAGTATATACCGTATATATACATACGGATATGTGTGTGTGTGTGTGCCAATGCCACTGTCAGCCCTCTGTTTAATGAATTCATTTAAAGGTGGTGGGGCAAGCTTATGCAAAACCTTATAAAGTAAACAGGCATATTTAAAAATGTTATCAATCAAATCTTATTAGATTATATTTTTCCATTATATTGCATGAATGATGATGAAATTAATTTTTTTTTTAAAATCTAAAACTTTAATGGGTTTCTTGAAAATTGATTCTGTCGATTTAAGTGTCGTCCCTCCTGCAAATGACCAGCTGATAAAACAATCCTCAATGTGTGAAAAAAGTGTAGAAACATCCTGGCAGCATTAACGGAGAGAAATTGCCTGTATCTAAGTTCTAACCTAAGTAGCAGTATGTAAGTTCAGTGCCCATATTAGGATACTGAAAGTGTTTGAGGCCATAAAAGCTGTGAACTTGATCTGAGTCTGTGTTTCACTTCCACTCCGACTGCTACTTGCTCACTGCACTTTGTCAATATACTTTTCCTGATAACCATGTTTCCCTCCCTGTACTAATTATGCTTCTCGCTCCTCCCCCTCCACTGCCTGCAGTTCTTCAGCAGCATATACAAGGCCTTGCAAAAGATCCTGAGGTTACTCTTAAGGAATGTATGTGGAGTGACGTGGCTCTCAGTGTTTTGCTGGTGAAAGCATGCTAAATGCATTTTGTCTTTTTATGATTTAATGAAATGTAAAGCTGTCGCCCCAGTCATAGACAATACAGAGGTATGCTGTTCATGGTGGAACTGTTGGGCTTCCCTCTGTAACTTTGCGAGGAGATATTTGTATCTTATGATTTTATGATCCGGTGCTATATATTTAAAAGTGAATTGAATTATAATTACAGTAATTTGACCGTTTAGTGTGTCATTGCTGTAAGTTTCTCTATGTCTTTTTGGTACTGCTCTCTGGTAAACCATCCTTTATAAGGGTTTATAAGTTGTAACTCATGGGTCAGAGTTTTATTGTGTAAACATTTAAAACTGCAAACTCAGTGCGTTAATGTAAAGAGTGATCCTTGCAGAGTGCAGCCCAGAAGATGTTCTCATGAATGACTTTTAAGTTATCTATAAACAGGGTTGGACAGTAACAAAGACAGTAGCAAAGTACATTTACATGAGTACAGTATTATTTTTATTGTTTTAGAAACTCCTGACTTTTCCTCCACTACACTTAAAGACAAATATTGTTCTTTTGACTCCACTACATTTCTATGAAGTGTTCTTACTTTGAAGCAGAGCTTTTAGTCAGAGGAATGAATCTTCTTTTATTTTGAAAATGCGATAGACCACACACTGTGTTCATCACAGGAGAAAAACCAATCACAGTCAACTCCTCCACTGTCAGTCATGTTTGAACCCGTCAGTGTCTTAACGATGGCGACGGTAGATAAAGATGAGGCTGCCTCTGTTTGAGGGTTTAAAAAAAGATTCATTTAGTTTTTGCTGTGTTTACCACAACCAAACTTCATCACTGACTAAAAAAAGAAATATAAAATCGACCGTTGATTCAGTTGTTTTTATGTTCTTGTCTGAAGTCTTGGTATCATATTCTACAGTCTATTTATTCTACAAGTTCTACAGTCAGTCAGTCAGTCAGTAGGTTGTTTCGGAGTCATCATGTTCTGTAAATGTGGAACAATATCACAATGAGTTGACATGACAGTGTACTTTTCAATATTTCAGTTTTTTCAAATCAATTACTCGAGTACTTTAACTTGAGTAAAAACCCGACTGAACAACTTGTGTTGGAGTCATATTTGACCAGGAGGAGCTATAATCTGACTCAAGTTGTAGTTGTGTACTTTGTCCACCTTTGTCTATAAATCATTTGTAAATAACATTAACATAACATAAATCCATTAGTTACAGCTTACTATATATAAGCCATTTATAAAGGATGCCTTAATACAAAATATGAGGGGCTCTGCAGGCAATACTTATCAATTGTGTCTCCACTGTTCTGCTCCAGGTTTTGTTCTTGTATACACACTCTATGGCCAAAAGTATGTGGACATGACTGACTGTGAGGTTGATATGGCAATAGATTTATGCCTGGGGTTTTTGGAATGAAACGTTCAGCAGTTATGCATGTTAGCACAACCCTGTCACAAGACAAGAACGCTGTCAATGGACGATTTTGCAAACCCTGGATTGCTTGGTGATGTTTTTAACGTTCAGTGCCAAGATTTTTACAATTCCATCTTTCTACAATTTGTGCATGACAAACTACGATATGGTTAAGGACAGACTGTGGATATTGTGCATGTCAGCATGCAAGCATGTTCTGTACCCTATAATGCATCATGCTTGTTGCTGGGCCAGTCTATACAGAGCCTTTTACTGATTGAACTGTGAAAGCAGTAGATGAATGTGGGTGAGTATCTGAGCGGAAGCAGAGTACATTATTGCACCTCTCTGTGGTTGCTGCTAGAGAAGCTGTCGTGACACAATACTTCCTGTTTGTGTAGCAGGAAGCAGAACAAATAAGAGAAAAGTCAGAGGGGAGCAAAGAAGACATCACTCATCCAGACTCTTCAGCAGCCTGCACAGACGACAGACTACACATAGGTAGGAAACAAGGGCTACTATCTTACATTTAAGCACCTGAATGCAACTTAAGAACTAGACTAGAGTTGTTTCAACAATGTGACAAGTTAAACCTGGTGCCACGGGGAAGTATTAAAATAAAAAGTAACTGAGGTTCTATTTCCTGTTTGAGACTAAATGGACTAAACTTCAATCAGGATATGACACTGGAGTTCACCTGAGGCTGCAGCAATGTTGATGTGTCACCTGCTCTAGTTACACCAAGGGCTCTATCAGCAACAGCATATTTCAAAGTTCAAAGTTTGATTTACTTCACTTGAAATTTTCCTAAACGAATGTCAGAATGTGCTTGTTGCCTGATTAACAAACTCACAAAGCAACATCCTGTGATGACAGTAATAACTAATCTGATGTCAGCTCATCTGATTGATCTATAAAACGGTCCAACTGACAGAGGGTTTTATGACATCACAACTGTGCTTGTGCCTCAAAGAGAGGACTTACTATGACACTTGCAAAGATACATTCACAGCTGCATACAGACCTATGTGCAGAAACAAAGCACAGCAGGCTGCCCACAAGGAATCGAGTCCTCATCAACAACAGTTGAAGTTATCCATCACAGCTGCAACACACATGCATGAGCATTGCTACCAGCAAAAATAGGCAAAGCTGCCTACTAGCGATCTAGTCTTCAACATCCATCACACACGATAGCCTACAGTGCTACCAGTGAATAATACAGTTACTGTGATTGGGAAAAGCAGCCTTTACCGGAAATAGTGATAACTCATCGTCATGCATGAATGATACATTAGTTTAGCTTAATTTCACACATGATCCATGATGATGAAGATACAAAAAAACTATAAAATGCATAGCAAAATAACATTGTTAATATTTTTAGACACCCACCAAAAATTCACAAATCATGTTTTCAGGGGAGCCCATTACTTGTTAAGATGAGCCGAGCTCCCCCTGCTCCCCTGTAGTTCACACCCTGGTGTCACAGCAGGTCAAGCGATCAGCCTCTGCTGAGAGGCACATTCTGAGCTGTTGCGTGCAGCTCATCTTCTCCTCTAGAGGAGGAGCAAAACCTGGAGGGAGAGAGAGGAGCAACACCAGACACCATCACTGGGGTTGTAACAACGTGCACTGCACTATAACTATCAATGGAGGAATCGCTGTCTTTTCTGTCTGTCTTTTCTGTCTGTCTGTCTGTCTGTCTGTCTGTCTGTCTGTCTTTTCTGTCTGTCTGTCTGTCTGTCTGTCTTTTATGTCTGTCTGTCTGTCTTGGCGGCTTTATTGCTGAAGACCAAGGAAGTATGGAGGAATCGCTGTCTTTTCTGTCTGTCTTTTCTGTCTGTCTGTCTGTCTGTCTGTCTGTCTTTTCTGTCTGTCTGTCTGTCTGTCTGTCTTTTATGTCTGTCTGTCTGTCTTGGCGGCTTTATTGCTGAAGACCAAGGAAGTGCAGCCTCAGCTTTATTTTGTGTTTATCGATAATTAGCAAGATAAGCCTGTTAGCAAGCTAATTAGCATGCTAACAAGGTAAACTAAGTTGGTGAACATGTTAAACATTATACCTGCTAAACAACAGCATGTTAGTGTAATGAAATGTAAAGCTGTCGCCCCAGTCATAGACAATACAGAGTTATGCTGTTCATGGTGGAACTGTTGGGCTTCCCTCTGTAACATTGTGAGGAGATATTTGTATCTTATCATTTTATGATTTGGTGCTATATATTTAAAAGTGAATTGAATTATAATTACAGTAATTTGACCGTTTAGTGTGTCATTGCTGTAAGTTTCTCTATGTCTTTTTGGTACTGCTCTCTGGTAAACCATCCTTTATAAGGGTTTATAAGTTGTAACTCATGGGTCAGAGTTTTATTGTGTAAACATTTAAAACTGCAAACTCAGTGCGTTAATGTAAAGAGTGATCCTTGCAGAGTGCAGCCCAGAAGATGTTCTCATGAATGACTTTTAAGTTATCTATAAACAGGGTTGGACAGTAACAAAGACAGTAGCAAAGTACATTTACATGAGTACAGTATTATTTTTATTGATTTAGAAACTCCTGACTTTTCCTCCACTACACTTAAAGACAAATATTGTTCTTTTGACTCCACTACATTTCTATAAAGGACTTTTACTTTGAAGCAGAGCTTTTAGTCAGAGGAATGAATCTTCTTTTATTTTGAAAATGCGATAGACCACACACTGTGTTCATCACAGGAGAAAAACCAATCACACTCAACTCCTCCACTGTCAGTCATGTGTGAACCCGTCAGTGTCTTAACGATGGCGACGTTAGATAAAGATGAGGCTGCCTCTGTTTGAGGGTTTAAAAAAAGATTCATTTAGTTTGAGGTGTTTGCTGTGTTTACCACGACCAAACTTTATCATAGTTCTTGTGAGCATGTTTGTATGCTGATAATAGCTTTTAGCACAAAGCACGGCGCTGTACCTCATTGGGCCTCCCCACTTCTAAAACATAACTTGATAGAACTGTTAGTTTTTCTCAACTGCTTCGATCCAACTCAAACATCAGAAACATCATTCTCACTACTTTTAATGCAGTTCTCGAAACAGTTAATCATTTCCTCACACACATTAGCATTTGTCATTGTGTTTAAACAAACTTACATCGTATCCACACATAGTTCACTACTATTAACGCTTCTCATTGTGTTGATGCATTTCTCATCTGGCTCTGACTCATGAAAACAGTTTGTACCTTTGTCACATAGAATGAGCTCTCGCTTTCTTAAACTTTCTTCAAATTTGCATTAAAGAGCAAGGCACACACACACACACACACACACACACACACACACACACACACACACACACATATACTTTATGTAGTGTACATTTACTGTACTATAATTGGTGCTATGTTCTACCTTTGTTTCTTTGTTTTTTACAACTGCTTTCACACATTTTCTAAGCGAGGTCAAATTTTTCAAAACTCAGAACACAAAATCTAGTTTTTTTTTCATTATAGAAAATTTTTGAATAGACCATGTTCTAAATCATAAGCTCCTCTGTCTTCCACAGGCTTGTATATACATTTCCATACAGTGTTCTAAAGTGACAGTACAGTGATCTGTTGAGAGGGGTTGACATGTTCACAGTACAGTAAACACTAATGCAATGTTGAAACAGAATATGATTATTTTTACAAAATGCTGCTGTTATATCTGTAATACAGTGTTCACATATGTAAATGTGTCAATGTTTCTATGTAAACATGTAACCTCGTCCTCCATGATATCTCTGCCTTTCCACTCTGTAGAAGATTACAGCAGATCAGAGGCTTTTGCTTTTGATTTAGTGTTTTGAGAACTGCGTTGAGTTGTGATGACGTTTCTGATGTGCGAAATGCATCAAAGCGATTGATAACACTTGCAGAGTCCTGGATAATCTATCCACCATGTTGTTAATAATGTTGTTCATAGTGTGAATATATAGTGATATCTATCACTGAAGCACACAAGCACGTCTCACACTTGTCTGCTGTCCTCTGTGTTGACAGATCATTCAACAGCATCATTCCTCTGCTCACAGCCAAAGAGAGCAGCTCTGAGGAGACAGGCTCGCGTTGAACAACACACCCAAGAGCAGCTTCAAGATCCTTGGGTTCGCCTTTCAGACAGCTCCCCCGAAGAACTGCCCGAGATCCACCGCCGACACACAGCCTGTCACTATCCACAGCCGGTCAACATCCTCAGCAAGCCCGCCGCCATGAGTGATGAAGAGAACACCAGTGAGTTCAATGGCACAGCCACAGATGTGAATTCAGATCCTCTGTCCCACGTGACTCCTGAAGACACGTCTGAAACTCCTCCAGAATCAAAGAGGGGGCCCCCAGTGGCACCCAAACCGGCCTGGTTCCGCCAGAGTCTGAGGAAGATTCGAGATGAGCAGGGCCAGAAGAAGCAAACTAAACCTGCAGAGCAGAGGCCGGCTGTGGGTTTTCAGAGCAGAAGCTTTGGAGTCAGATCACCTTCTTCTGCCTCCAACCTGTCAATCAAACAAAAGATCCACTCATTTGAGACTTTTTCCAGTCCAGAGAGTGGAGAGAAGGGGGGCAACAGGAGGCCCGTGACCCCTTCCTCCTCCCTTCCTCTGATGGAGAAGGAGTCCAGGAGTCACCCCGCCTCACGTGAAGATTGTGGGAACAGCAAGCATGAAGTCCCAAAAGAGATCCAGTCCAACCAGTCTGCATCTGTTCAGGAGACAGGAGACAGCACTGTCACCTCCTCCACCCCTGAAGCTTGTAGTCAAACAACAGCAAAGTCCTGTGAAGATGAACCTCCATTCACCCAGACCCCCACAGATCTGCCACCCTCTGACACCATCAGCACTGATCTGGACTCTGAGATAAAAGATTCAGCTCCATCCAAAGATGACAGAGATGTTTTACCATCCGAACAGGAGTCTGAGCTAGAAACAGCGGATCTCAGCGAGGTCCCACCCCCTGCAACGTCTATGAGATCCAATCAAAATGAAGGGGAAGGTCCTCCAGAGGGGGCGAAGGGGGATGGAGCACAGAACCAAGGAAAGCTGCTCGGCATGACTCTGAGTGCTGGTCTAGCTGCAGACAGTAACTCTGTGAGAGGCCTCGATGGAGAGGGTTTGGGGAAAATTCTTGCATTCAGTAACCAGGTAATCTGCCACACATGGTAATGGACTTTGTTTGTCATAGTCAGAGATAGTGGAGGCTTAATATACGTAAACCTCCAGCTCAGCGCATTGGAGTTGTTTCTTGTTTTGACCCCAGATTTTGGATATGAAAATTACAGTACAAAGTTACCCCACATATGTAGACACATCCATATCTGTACTGTATTTAACTGAAAATTGTTTAAAGGGCAATTACAGTTTAGTTCTTCTGTAATAGGTTTGACCATCATTTCTAAGTCTGATGGTTCAAGAAACATGAGCAGTCAGATGATCCGACAGGTTGTCAACAAACTGCAAACAGTTTAATCAGATCATCTACATCACTTTAGTTTGAGGTGATAGTAAAAAAGCACATGTATAATAACCACATGGATCTCACTGTGAGAGAGAGCCAGTTTAGAGGATCAGAGCTGCATTTAATTTCCAGCAAGTCCTCTTAAGCAACCATATAGGTTGTTTTTTTCAACCCTCTGATACGACCCATAAGAGTGTCTCCTGAAATAGTGCACGACTGTACCGAGAGGCTGTGCTGTGGTTACTATAATAACGGTCATGTCTTGGTTAGGTTTAGGCACAAAAACTTCTTGGTTAGGTTTAGGAAAAGATCGTGATTTGAGTTCAAATAAATACTTGCTTAACATCAGACGATCTTTGTTGTCATGGTTACAATACTAAAAACGAACGGTTGTGGATAATAGAAACAACATAAACTAATGGTTTCACATGGGAATCGAACACCGCTCTCCTGTGTCATATTCATCGATCCACCACAACGTCCTACTGACATGGACTTTGTCTCTGTTTATACTACGTCACCGCACTTTCTCCTTTGCTCCTGTCATAATTACTTCTACCATTAGATGTTGCCTAGCAACAAAACATAACTATGGGTCATAATAACCTGCTGCACAGACGACGTGTGGGCTCGTTTTGGAGGACAGTCTGTAAATTTCTCACAGTGTGACTGTTGGTAACACCCACATGAACAAATCATCAAATTGCAATATGACACGAAATGACTCAGAATACATTGGCCAACACAGTTCTGAATACACTGTGCATGAACAGTACAGATGATGATGATGCAAGTTGTCTTTGCTTGCATTTTTTGATTCACAAGGAATTTGACATGCATAAAAGTTGGAATCACCCAGAGTGTATTAGACCCATCTCACACAGTGTGACATGCACAGTCACTGTTGTTGCACAGTGTACAGTGGCCTTCAAGTACAGTAGGTCAATTCCTAACTCCTGCTATGAACCTAGTCAGGCTGGGTGAGGGTCACAGGGGTCCAGCTGGAGCTCTCCAGGGACATGAAGGTCGATTTCATGCACCAATTACACCAGTCAATGTTTTAACTTAAAATCAGCTGTTCAAGTGAAAAATGATTGATCTTGTGAAACCACTATAACTAGATTGTTGGGGTAAAAAAAACTAAAAAAATCAGGGCGATTCAGTGGGGGTCAGTATTTTACAATTACATTAAATTCTCTTGTTGTCAGTTTACAACCTACGACCCTGTTGCTTGCTGTTGAGAAATTATTACCAAAACTATGGAAATAAGTAAAAATAAAACCTGAATTGTCGTTCAAGCAGCTGAACAGTTTTCATACGACATTTTCATGTGTTATAATGTGTTGTTTTTATTCTAGGTTTCACAAGCATTGATGCGCTCTCTACCCATGAACTCCAGCCATGGTAACCTGCAGGACCAGTCTGCAGTGGCTGTTTCTAACCCCGAGGAGTCTGAACCTGCTGCTGATGGCGCCGACAGAGGATTCTCTGTCAGGTAAGACTTCCACACAGAGGTACGGGCGGCCGTGACTTGTAGCGTTTTATTATTTAAACAGGGGTTCTCTCACAAATGGCATACTGTGACTGTTTTATATTCATAAGGAAGTGGGTTCAGGCTGAAAAAAAAACACTTCCTGTTTAACCAGAGAAACAGTGGCAGTCTGTTGGCACCTGGGTGAAAATTGTCACTACACAGGAACACCCAATGGCTCCTTAAGCGCCTTGTTTTTTGCACCATTTAAAAAGCGCCGTACACTGTGAGATGGTCTAAAGTCTGCATAGGGAGGTGGTTAGCTCCCATACGTGTCCAAAAGTTGATATTTTCTTATTTTTTGACTTTCGTATAATTATTATTTTCAGTTTTTAGTATATATCTGTTTTCAGCACCATGCTCAGGGGTGTGTAACTGACATAATGTCTTGAAACAGCTTGGCCACACTGAGGGAATGGACCATCGAGAGAGGGGAGAGGGGAACTCGAGACGAGACAGGAGTCACTTCTGCTTCTGCCTACTCTGTCATCTCAGCCATCCCTTCACAGGAAATACAGGGGATGATCCAGGAAGTCTCAACTCTGGACGAAGACACGCTGAAGGTAGAAAAACAACCAGATTTTCACTTGGAATAAAGCCTGTCTCACCAGGTCAAACCTCATGCAGCTATTTTGATTCTTTTTAAGTTTCCTTTGTATAGTGGGCTCCAGTCTGAGAACTCTTTCCCATTATGTGGAAACTTCAAAAAAACAAAAAAACAAAGAAAATGACTTTAAATTCATGGATGCAGCCTGGATTTTAGAGGTACTCATTTCATCTGTCAGGTAAAAAACCCTGATGGGGAAACATTTAATTCCTTATTCATTCAATTTCTTGTGGACCTACAAATTGACAGATTTAAATGTAACAACAAGAGACATGACGTTCATCAGTTTTAGAGCTGGAGAGGTGTTTGGACAGAGACAGGCCAAATGTTTCCCTCTTCCTCCAGTCTTTATGCTAAGCTAGGCTAACCACGTCTTGACTCAGGCTCCATTAAGATTAATTGTAACTGACACGTTGATCTCAAAAGTAATTCACTGTGAAATATTACATTTGCAAAGGTTCTGGGGCCTTTCTGTGTGGAGTTTGCATGTTCTTCCTGTGGCTGTGTAGGTTCTCTCCAGGTGCTCCGCCCCCCCACACACACACACACACACACACACACACACACAGCACACCCCCTGCGACCCTAGAAGGATAAATGGTATAGTTAATGGATGGATGGATCTAGAAATGACAATAAAGATACTGTAGGTTTATGTGAAGAGTGCTTGGTGGCTCATTGACCAGTTTAAAATGTCATCTCAGATAATCATATAAAAAGTGAAATAAACTGCTTCTTTTTCACCACAGCAACTGGTGGACATCCACGTAGTGATTCTGCATAAAGAGGAGGGAGCTGGGCTGGGCTTCAGCATCGCTGGAGGGTCGGACCTGGAGAGCAAAGCTCTCACAGTAAGCAACACTAGCTACACAAGGGTTAGACTGACACATGACCATGACAACTTAGCTTCTCACTGCACAACAAACAATGCACATTCATACTGAATCCTAACAAAGTTTCATTCACTTATATCTACAGATACGTTTCATTAATCCAGCTTCTGAGAAATGATCTGTCTCTGAGACCAAGAAACATTTTCTTTTCTTTATTAAGTGAATAGAAAACAAGTGAAGAGAAGTGAATCAATAGTGACATAGATTTGACCAAACACATATCAGAGGATGCAACAAACATGTAAGAGAAAACAAAGAAAAATAAGAAGAGAATATAATTGCAGAGGTAGAAAATGAGACAGAATAGATAAAATGGTATTGAGGTTTTGCCTGTATGAGGAGCATGTTACACACATTAACACACAGCAGCAACCTGTACTCACTCATACAATAAAAGACCAAGAAACAATGAAGGTGAATGAACTTTGAAAAGTAACATTTAAAATCTTCAAGAACAGTTTCTCTTCTTGTCATTGTTACTCTGGATAACTGCAGAGCAGAGCATGTTTATTTGGGACTAGTTTCTACTAAAGAAATAGAAATAAACCCAAAACAATCACAATTTATCAGAGCAACACAAGATTGTGCATGCTCATAAAAAAAAAAAAATCGCACTTCTTTTTAACTTATTTTTCTCTCAAACGTGTGACTGTGAGGGTGAAGGAATGAGCAGCTACGATACAGGGCTGCTTACCTGAGTGATGGTGTTCAGGCTTGGCAAGGTGTTTCATTTAATTAGCACGTTTCTTTTCAGGTGATCAGGTAGTTTGTTCCAGAGAGTGGGACCAAAGTAGTTCAAAGCACCTTCATCTGATTTGTATCTGAAAACCAGCAGCTGATGATGTGAGAGCTCTGCCTGGACTCTAGTCAGCGAGCAGGTCACAAATGTGGAGCCAAACCATTAATTGCATGTAAGACTAATGAATTGTATTCAGGTCTGAAACCCGAGCAAAAACATGACTGTTTCCAGTTAGCTGGGAAATGTATTGGCTTGTCAGGAAGATTTTGTTTTAAACTGTTATGTGATGATACAGTGTAGTTTCTTCAGGCAGTCTACATGACTGTTAAGTTTTGGTTGGACCAATAATATCTGATATGAACCATCACATGATGGCAGTGATGGTGGATGTATACTTAGCTGTATTTGCATGAATGTAACACCTGTTGGTTCATCTGTTAGTTTTGTATGGAGGTGAACAGTTGTCTGAAACTGCGACATCTAGTATGTGAGTTCAAACATGATCAAGAGTGAGCATGTTGTTTAAACTCGTTTTATGCGAGCCCTATAACCTGGACTGTCACTGAAGGACCTGGTTCAGGACTGGACTGTGTACAGATGCTGACCGGGGGCTTTGGGCCACACCTCTTGTTACTGATAGTCTACAGAGCCACTCTGGTTTCCAAGCATGAGAGAGAGAAGTCATCTGTAACGAAGCTTCGTACTAACGACTATGACCAACCCTACATATCAAACAGGGAGTCAGACATAGAGACCTGCCTCTAATAAAAGTCTGTTACGTTTGGAGCTGAAGTAAAGAAAGACTAAACTATTGTGGATCCAGACGTGTGCTGTGCTCTGTGTGAGAGACTGAAGAAGAAAGAGTCTGTCTCTTCTAACTTCCACTCTGATCATGTAACAGTAAATCCAGCTGAAATCACAGCTCAGTCTTTGTCTTTCATTCATGTGTTTGGTGATTTTGTCAGACGACGTCACAGTTATAAAATCAGGATTTGACCATAGGCGGTCCAGACAGATACTAGGCTTAGACCTAGTCTTGTTTGAGTTAAAAGGTGCAAATGCAATGTTGTATTTGATTCATTGATCTGTTTTATGTAAGGAGTCTGTAGTCAGAAATTGATTGTTCAATACTGTATAACAATAATATGTCAGCATTAGTAAAACCTTAGTAATAATGAGGGGTCTGGTTGACCAGAGGTGTTGAACGTGCCTTCGCTTTCTGATGATATTTACAATCTGTCAGGGTGTCTTTGCTGGTGAATAGTTGTAGTAGTATGATGAAGTAGGGAACACCAGGCTAATTGTCTGACTGAATGTATTGATCTGAATAAGCTGGAGAAATGTACCAGGTAATAAAGAGCATGGCAAATAGTCTGGTCATAACCAAATAAAATAAACATGAAAGTTTTTGGCCTTTACAGTGCTTCCTCTACTCTGAATTTCACACTCTCTCACTCTCTGAACCTGTGTGTCCATGTGTGAGTGACGCTGGTTGTCTTCGGTGCAGGTCCACAAAGTGTTTCCCAGCTGCCTGGCGGCTCAGGAGGGAACTATTCAGAAAGGAGATGAGGTGCTGTCAATAAACGGACAAACACTGCGCGGTGTCACACACGCCGACGCCACCGCCGCTCTGCGTCAGGCCCGCAGTCTGAAGCTGGCTGTGGTGGTCGTCTGCAAGAGAGCAGGGGAGGAGGGGCGAGAGGGAGGAGGCTGCAAGAGTGAAGAGCCCACATCTGCAGGTGAGTCGTACAAAGTATCACAGCATCTCCAGGGTTTTCTGTTTATGCAGGCAATAAATTCAGTGGTTACGTATAGGCCTCAAAAGGTTTCACATTTTGTTCTGTGAGATAAATGACACCTGTTCATGTCCGTTCATGTGAATTTTGTTTTGTGTGTTGTGTTGCAGTGGAGGAGCAGGGGTCTGTGGTGAGTCTGGAGAAAGGAGCCGGAGGAGTTGGTTTTACTCTGGAGGGAGGAAAAGGCTCAATCCATGGAGACAGACCATTAGTCATCAGCAGGATCTTCACAGGTACAGTACACAATGAAATTAAATGATTTTTTTATTTATTACCACTAATCAACTATCTGGGTTTTTAGGAAGTGCCTCCATTTAATTTGCTGTGAATGAAATGAGCCAAAGTGTAAGCAAAAAGTTGATCTCAATATTTCTTTAATTACTTTTTGGTTATCACACTTAGGTTATCTTGATTTTTTGAGAGGAGGAAGAGATAGAGAGATAATCAAGTACTGGAGTGCAGTTATTATAAGAACTGTAGAACAACTACGTAACCAGCAACTACATAAAACTGAACTACTGATACTTGTGCGAGTAGTACTAGGCTACAGTCTCTGATTTATTCTCTGATTTATTTGTTGTTGTCGTGTGTGTGTGTGTGTGTGTGTGTGTGTGTGTGTGTCAGGTGGAGCTGCAGAGCAGAGCGGGCTGCAGTGTGGTGACGAGCTGCTGCAGGTCCAGGGAGTCAGTCTGCAGGACATGACGCGGTTCGAGGCCTGGAACATGGTCAAGGCTTTACCTGAAGGACTCATCACAGTGGTGATCAGGAGGAGGCAGGGGGGGGCAGAATGAGGACAGACTGCTGCCAGGAGCTGAACAATGTTGGCTCTCTAACAATCTCCTAGCAATCAACTCAGCCAGTCAGTGTGGTCTGTGTTTGACATGGTGGTTCAGACACCCTCTGAATATATGTTCTATTATTTCTATTATTATTTATTATTATATCACATTTTTGGCCAGACAGCAAAGTGTATTAAAGGGCCAGCTCATCCAAACACCCCAAAATCCACATCAGACTCTGTATGAAGGCTCAAAACTAACACACAACTTCATGAAATCCAAGCAGCTCATTAAGACCAGATTGTCCATGGTCTGATTGCATTAGGCTACACAGCGGCACTGCTGGCCAGTATATAGTAATAATATATAATAGTATATTGATTTATATTATATTGAAACAACATCTAATGTAGCATCAAATGCTACTTGACGGGCCTAAAGTAACAAATGTTACAACCAACAATATGAAGGAATTAATCAGGAATGTGGAGGCTCCTTAATGCAGATCACAGCTGACCACAGTCTGTTGTTAACACTGGATGCTCCTTACTGACGTGTTACTGGCAGATTAGACAGTCAGGCAATGGACGATTCATCTGTGTGGTTTTAATGCACTTTTCTTTTGAGCTTTTATTTTTGACTTCCCTTCAATACAAGTTTAAGTGTTAACCATATGTTTAATGCAAACAGATGAAGTCATTCCAGAGTATAAAATAATCATTTTAATGAATTATTGATTCAAAAGCTGAGTTGTTTTCTTTTTCTCTACGACATCAGAGTCCAAGCTTCTCCGGCCTGTTTGGAAACGTATTGTTTGTTCATGCTCACCAGCTGTAAAATGAGTTGGTGAATACATTCTTTTGGTATATTTTGTTTACATTGGCCAAAACTTTGACAGTGAGAGGCAGAAAATCTCCTTTAACAAGACCAGGGGACGGTTCCACAAAGATATGTCAGACTGGTCTGTAGTCTTCATGTTGCTCATAGATCAGTCTGATGTCAGACTGTTACGTTACATTTTAAGACTAAAAGATTAGACACCTTACCCCCAGGCTAACTCGGGCCTAAGACCAATGTTACCATGGTAACAATCAATGACACTGTGCTGACCAGTAGCACTGAACAACAAAAAACAGGAAAACATAGCTCATAATTTGTGGTTTGCTAACATTGATATGGAGAGAGTTCTTATAGACCACAGACATTTTTCCAAATCACATTTTTCTTTTCATTCTTTCACTCTTCATGTTAAACATCCTTGTAACTGTTGAATTCTTCCTAAAGACAAACATTTTCTGCTGAGGGTGAACGGAGCTGAGGGGTTGGATGTGGTTCCACAGTCGGCCATAGTTTTTTATTTTGAAAAAAATCTTAATTTACCCAGAAATCAATGTACCACAGTCCAGCTAAAGATAGTCAAGGACTAAACTGCTTTGTCTATCTGAAGTCTGACTGTTTGTTCTATCTAAGACAGTCAAAGTCTCTTTGTGAAACCAGCTCCTGGTCAAAACCTAGAATATGGACTGGACTCTGTTGTAATCTGCATTCACCCTGGTGTTTCAGCTCTTTATCTGTTTGCTTCTCTCCTCCTCTCTCTGCTCACATATACAGTACATGTTGATCAGACGCTGTTGGCACCAGATCATTTTTGAAAACGCATCAACCAATCAGGAAAGTCCAACATTTGGCCGACCAATAGTGTAATTTGATCAGTCAGTCAGTCAGTCAGTGACAGGGCTGTTTAAAACACTGTATTTACAAAACATGTTATCAGCAACATTGGGTAAAAAATATTGGTACCTAAAAATATTGGTAAACTGGTTTTACCAACTGGTATTGGTAAAATATTGGCCTTGAAAACCTGGAGTAAACATACTTCAAATATTAATTCATACCACGGTACAAGAACTATTGAAGCCAATACAAACTGTGATGTGTTCAGTAGGTGTTGTTTTTAATGCTCCTGTATGTTTAGTCTACAATGAGAAGAACAAATGTGCAGTTATGTATAAACAATGTCATATGTATTAGAGTAAATGTCTATGTTTCTCAGCAGAGGCAGATCAGACTCTGTGAAACTGTTGACTCAGCAGCTTTGACCAAGTTATCAGTCAAACCAAACTCAGATGTGTGTCACTGTCCTGAGTGTGCTGTGGGACATTTTGTGCAGAGAAGCTTTTTTGCAAGCACATAAATTCAAGTTTGGAGAGAAATGATCACTCACCACCTGTTTTCAATAAACATTTGTGTGTTTATTATTATCCACTAAGCGAGTGGCCGAGGGTTTGCGAGTGCATAGAGCAAGGAATTTGAAGGATGGCAAATGTGCATTTTAACACTGAAACCTTATTGAACACAGCAGATTTCTATTTTAAAATATAGCTGGCATGGTAAAAATTTCTCCGCAAATTATAACTTATGTGCTTATAATGTCCTATTACGCAGTCAGGAATAATGCACAAATATAATGTCAAAGGATGTCTTTGCGTGGAACCCACAAAACAAATGTTTTCTACTGAGGTACGCTTAAAAAAAAAAAAAAAAAAAAAAAAAAAAAGAAAATTTACAAAACATGTTTGTATAGTGAGTAAAATCTGCTGGAAGAATTCAAAATGACTTGTATAAAACTGTTCAAAACTGTGTCTTAATCTGTGTAATGTTTAATTTTCTACGTTTCTATAGTCGATGTCTTTACAGTTGTGAAGCATGAGAACTTTTTCTACTGTGAAAAAGACAAGAAAACAACAAGAGGCTCATTAAGAGGCTTAATCATTTTAATGCTGGTGAAATACAAAACTAACTGGGTGCAGTACAGTACATGATAAACAGTATGCATGTAAAACTCAATGTTATGAGTAGCAGCAGTTGCTCTCAGTTAGGGAAGTAAATTATAACTGACATGTATAATTTGACATGTATTCAGTTGTGTTACTGTTCTGTTGTGTCAGACATTGTGTACTCTGGACAACCTGCGATTAGTGTTGACAAGAAATGTCTGAACTGGTTGTTGGATTACAAGTTACCAGGACAGTGTGCATAAGAAAACTTTGGATTGGTTTCTGAATTTTAATCACAAAACACAAACTTTACTCTGGGTATTTGGTCTCATTAGTGTTCAAACAGTCACAAATTAATACTTAGAAAACAGTTTAACAGTTTGACTGGTTCTCCTCTTTGACCATCGGGTCACCTGGATTCAGTGAGATGTTGTCAGGTCAAAGGTCTCTCCAGTCAAAGAAAGCAAATCAATACTGAATCACATGCTGCTCAGTGTTAGTTCACAATCTGAAACAAGTCTAATATATAGAAAAGAGTTTATTAGATTGAGCCAATTTTCAAGCAAAATATGTTTCCAATGTTTCCTGTTTTCACAAGATACTGTGAAGTTCAGTTGAAAGTGAACACGGCCCTCTAGTGGTGAGGGTGGTGAAAGCTGCTGGTGATTCTACAGATTCGTCACAACTTTTTGGTGGCCGTTCAAACATGTTTCCTATCAGTTGCAAAAAGACATTTCCATTTCCCATCTCCTATTAACATGTGATCTGTCTCTAGGTGTATCATCTGCATGTGAGTGGACTGCAGTCAGACCAACCTGACCACATCAGGGGTTGGTTCCACACAGATATGTCAGACTGCTCTGTAGTGTTGGTCCAGCCTTCATGTTGCTCATAGATCAGTCTGATGTCAGAATGTTTCATAAAAATAGAGATGGACTCATTTTAAGACAGACACTTTACCCCCAGACTATTTTAGGCTTAAGACTATGTTACCATGGTAACAATCGGTAGCACCTGCACTCACAAGTAGCACCAAACAACGAAAAACAGGAAAACATGACTCGTATATGTGGTTTGCTAACATTGTTATGCAAAGAGAAGTGAACATTGGTCTTAGACCTGCGTTAACCTGGGGATAAGGTGTCTCATGTTTTTGTCTTAAAATTAGTTTTTTGTGAAACAGTCTGACTAACTTTAGAGTGGTCTGTGGGTAAAATGAAGACTGGACCAACACTACAGACCACTCTGATATATCCTTATGAAACTGGCCCCTGGAGGTTTGTTCTTAAGAATCAAAAAGGTAGAGACGTGCCCACCCACTAAAAACAGTCTGTAGCTACAGCAGCTGCAACCTCAAAGATGAGGGTCACATGACCTTCAAGGATTGCCAAGCTAGCGTTAGTGCTATCAGGCCTCCCCCGTGGCTCTGATGACTCTCAGTTAGTGTGTCACAAGGCGATTCCCTCCAGAGAATTGCTTCTCTTAAACTGTGACACACTGCACCATGTTAATAAGTCACAATGCAGGCAGAGGAGATAATGAGAACACTTATTAAAAGTAAGCGCAGGTCACAGATCACATGTGAATACCAGGTGGAGACGGGGTCCAGGGCTCTATTCCAGAGAGCAGGTTTAACAAACTGACTCTAACCCTGAACTCTGAGTTGATGAACCTTGAGATAAGACACAGAATTTTCAGTTCCAGAACAGCTAATCTGAGTTAGTTCAATCAACCCTGAGTATGTTCACCGGGTTATCTGCAGCCTGTATTCAAACACTCACTTTTAAAACACGTTTAGTCCAGTTTTTAAATGTTACAGTATTTTCATCCTCACTCAGAAATATCACATCACCTCTGATATGTGATCTCTATGACAGGACTGTTCATCAGTGAGACCAATCACAGCATGAGAAATGATTCTTCATTGATCAGTCTTTGTCTAAAGCTTCACACAGATTTTCTTTTGCTGTTAACAGTTATGGATAGTAAATGTTCCAGTGCAGAGGAACTGGTTGACAATATGACAGACATTAGACATTAGTTACTCAAGACCTGTTTTACGAACATTACGTCTTTTATGATCAATCAGTCGGCTTCTTAAATCACAGCAGGAGGGGTGGAGACAGACAGAAACCCAGGGTTTGTTGAAGAAAACCTGCCAGCAAGCAGGTTAGCTTCACAGAGTAAGTTACCATGGTAACTGACTCAGAGTTTAAGTGATCTCAGTCTCTGGAATGAAAACCCAGAGTTTCCATCATCTTAGGGTTAAGAAACTCTTAACGCTTTCTGGAATAAACCCCTGGAGTCAAAGGTCATTCAGGCTTGATTTACTTCTCTTGTTTCCATTTCCTTTTGAATTCCTCATGAAATTATGTGTTTCTTCTACTACAGCTGCTACCTCTATGTACATTGAGACAATTTCACTTAAAAAAAAACCAAAAAAAAAAAAACTTGCTGGCTCAATTTAAACAGTATACACATTAAAATGTCTTTAGAGCCACATGTAAGAAACAACATCTCAAGCACACATGATTTTGGAAATGGTGAAACACGAGGAGGTCTTACATTAAGATTACTGGCTACACTGTGAGGTAAAAAGACATGACAGGTTAAGTAGAAAAAACATTTTTCAAGGAATCTTAATACTAAAACAAGTCTAGTTAAAACATGTCACCATATATGGCTTATCATACACATGAAGGCTGTCAGCATGAATCAAATCTCTCCTCCAGCCTTCACTGCCTCAGATGCTCATCTTCACTCTGACACATACAGTACTTTCTGAATAAAGTGCTGATTATGTTCAAGCAATATATTTAATCCAATTATTAAAGTGAGAGAATGTATAAATTATCATTAAGGAACGGTTCACTTCAACCTTAATGCAGAGGGAATGAAGGAAAGGCTCACACAGTGTCTTTCAAAGCACAGAGATGAAGCATTTTCTCCTCTTCCTCCACCAAAGTGTATGAAGCTGACAATGACACAGTCCAGTACGTTACTGTGCCTAGTTTTTTCTGAGGATTCTGGCAGTTGTGGCATAAACTACATATGCCTTTTTTGTATATAATAATCATGTTACTATTCAACCTTAAGGATTACTTTAGCATTTTACAATAGCAACTTTTAAACTGTCAAGATAAAAAAAATAACAAGACTTGATTTGAGATTTTTTTTTTCCTGCCAGATGCTGCACCTACAGAGGAGTGAAGTCTTTCCCCGTCCGTCTAACCTCAAGATGAGCCTTAACATTAAAAGACAGCACGATATAAATAAAGCCAATGGTCAGCGTGGATGGACCTCTGCCCAGTTATTATTGTACATGTGTCTTAGTCTTAAATCCTCTCATTACACTTCCAAGTTAATTTCCCATTTCTTTTTCCCCATACAGAACTCTCATCAACCACAATGTGTAGAAGGTGATTAACAAGGATAGTGTCTTTATCCACGTTTGATTTCAATAGAGGGAAAACAGGCTGCTTTGAAGTTGCTCCTGTTTCATGACACACTGCAGGGATATTTATAGTACAGTCAGTTTGAAGGTGCAGGGTGAGCGTCTTTAATGTTCCTGCATCTGTTGCAGTTGTTGACTTTGATGAAGTGTAGAAACACTGTGGAACATTTAAAGTCATGATCTGTAACTTTTCCGCATTAAAAATGTCTAAAAACAACTAGACCTGTGTTCTTACATTATCACAAATGTTTCCACCAATTCTCAAACCAGAGAAATCTGTGATGTTATTCACAGTAACGCTTCATTGGTCGCCTGTCAATGACATCGTATCCTCTATGATCATGTGGCAGTCTGACAGAAGCTCAACTGTGGCTCAATCCCAATGTCACCTCTAAGGCCTCAGCCCTGAACCTTCACAGACTAAACTCTCGTCACCTGGTCAGTGATCGACTGCGAGACGCTGCAGCGACTCAAACAGAATAAAGAGGAAAGGGACAGCACTATGTGACACTTTGATATCACGTAAAACATGTGTTGTATAGTTGTGGGTTTGGAACTTCTGATTTTCCATTCTTTATTCCCTTCCTTCACTCCCTGTTCGTAAACAAAATAAAAATTTTGGATCAGATCCGGTGAAACCAGACTTGGAATTTATCATCATGTCATCATAGGACAGGTAACTACACACAGTTCTGGCTCTGAGTCACAGTGAGCTCTGTGTGATAATGTTATGGTTTGTTCCTCTCATGCATGTTAACCTTTTTTTCTTTCTTATTTTTTCCAGGCGTCCCCTGGTAACCATGGTAACCTTGTGTTAAATGTCACAACACTAAGAACTTTGGGTAATTCCCTCAAGCGAAATCTGCAGAAATGCAGACTTATGGAAAGTGTCCAGAAAGGGCTCAAATGTCTTTAGAGAGCCCTCGTGCTCTGGATGGTTTGACAGTGGGACAGAACTAAGCCGTCATGGACTTACTGGGAACGAGCCTCAAAGTCTGTGAGTCTCTGAGGGAGGACACTGGGATTGGGCCATTGACTTTTCTCTAGCTTTAAGCCACATACACTTTTGACACCTTGGTGGTTTTCAGCTCTATATTTGAACCAGATGAAGGATTTTAGTCGTCGGACGTCTGGATCTGAAGTTATCAGAGAAACAAGCTGAGGAAATGTTAGACAGCTCAGCTCCCAGCTGCTGGAGACGTCCTGTCCTGTGTCACTGAAGAGCGTCGCTGAATCTCTGCTTTTTAAAGGTAAACTGCTTTCTGGGTGTTTCTACTGGTTTTAATCCCCTGGTGTGTTTGTTATGGAGAGGAGGACACCTCTGTGGAGAATTCAGCTGCTGGTAAAAACCTGCTGAACGTCTGCTTCATAAGTTATCAGAGAAACAATCAGAACAAAGGTTAGCATCAATCTCAGCTCCAACTCTTCCCTGAGTCTCTGTCCTCCGTACAGCGTCGCTCCAACACTGACTTTAAATGTCAAACTGCTTCATTCAGTGTTTTTAACAGTTAGAATCACCAGGTCTGTTTGATTTCCTGAACCACTCACACTGTTTTGATAGAAAGACTCCTACCAGCAGAAGTTACATACTGTGTGTTTAATGGAAACACACCTTATGAACATGAGTCACAGCAGCTGACTTGGTTCTAATCTTAAACCTGCATGAGGACTGTTCATGGTGAAAAAGAGAGGGAAATTTACTTTTCAGCAACCAATGGCATGAAGAAAGGGGAAGAAACTTTTCTGCTAAATGGAGCAGCTTTGAATATTTGACCTCTAAACAGCTGCCTTTGTTTAAAAAGGCCGTGTCACCTGTGCTTTAGTGTTTCGGTGGAGCTGATATATTCACGGTTTACAGGTGAGTGGAGATGAGCAAAACTGTGACACTTCAAGTACACAAACATCTATATGAGGTATGAGGGACAACTCCAAACCAATAATCTGATACCAGCATAGGGTAAATAAGGTCCATGCAACATGCATGTTTACCGCACACACTCGAGTGTGCAATGAGTAGAAGAGGAATGTCTGGTGTCACGTCATTCTGGTAGAAAGGAAAGATATTCTGCACCTTTAGCACATGTACAAATATAGATTTGACATCTACTGGAATCATTTAGATTAGGGCAAATAAATCCCTCCGACAGAGAGGGATGTAGACGGACTGGTTTTGTTAAATGGAAGCCCTCTGTATTTTTTCAGTGTTGAGGATTTACTGGATTCTTCCTGCAGTAACACAGGAGTATAAGGAAGGTACATTACACATGAAGTGTGGATTAGATCTATCTGGATTAAACGGTTGTTGATAATCTCAGTGTGCTGACTGCTGTTGACTTTGGACTGTGGAAAGTGGAATGGACTTTTGGCCTGACCAGTCAGGAGGCCCAAGGTTTAAATGTGGCGTTTAATTCGTCTCAAAACTTGCGCACGTAAGAGCTCCGTGTATCACAGAACATCATCCACGAGACTGGGGAGCGTTTCTACTCACTCAGCCCTCCCCACGCAAAAGCCCAACACCAGCTCGCTCGTCAAGTTGAACAAGTTTGGAGACTAATTAAACACCATATTTGTAGGTGGATTTCTTAACTCTTAGTGTCAAAGGTCCTTGAGGGATTTGACAGCCTTGGCCAGGTTGCTGTAGAACTCGGCCATGCTGGATGGGAAGAACGAGTCGACCACAGAACGGGGGAGGAAGCCACCCAGGTCCGTCTGGAAGAAGCTGAACACCTGGGTTTTGTTGGGCTCTCTGGAACAAAAACACACAAAAGAAACTGTTATACAAAGAGGAGAAAGCAAACGCTGTACTTTTTATGCCTCCACACCAGCGATAAGTCAGAGCCGGAGCAATATTGTTTTCAGGTTGTTCCCCATCCCCTTCCATTCTCTTGGACACAACATCTCAGTAAAGCCTTGATGGAACTTCTTGAAATTTGGCAAAAACATTCACCTGGACTCAAGGACAAAATGATTAGATCTTGGTGGCTAAAGGTCAAAGGTCAAGGTCATGTTGACCTCACAAAATATGATTTTGGCCTTATGAACTCAATATCTGGAGAACTCTTGAAGGGAATCCCTTCAAATTTGAACTCAAGGATGAACTGATTAGATTTTGGTGGTCAAAGGTCAAAAGTGAAGGTCAGTGTGACCTCACAAAATACTTTTTAGCCATAACTCTAGACTTCCCACAGCAATGATGACAAAATTTCACACAAATGTTTGATATTTTCTCTGACTCTGGATAAACAGGGAGGTAACCTGAAACCAGTCTGAGCGGAGGAGGCAGACAACCACAAGGAGGTGATTCTAGTTTTGTATATGTTTGTTTGTGTGTCAGTGTACTCACCCCGAAATGGGGACACAGATGCAGCCACATGGATGGTTGAATCCTCTTACGTAGCCAGACTGGGGAGGACAGCCCGGGTGACTCACATTGGTGGCTGTATGACATGACACAAAACACACACACACGCACATTTGTCAACTTTATACTGATCTTGTGAAGAGTCACGTGAGCGCATGAACTAAACCAAGAGCCTGCAGGTTTTCAGTATAAATAGAGCAATTGTTTTTCCTCCTGGGAAATACACTCATTCGCTTTATCACGAAGAGTTACAGGTGAAGTCAGAAGTTTACACACACTTTAGCTAAATACATTTAGTTTTGCATAACTCCTGACACTTAATCCTAATAAACATCACCGGTCTCAGGTAGGTTAGGATCACTGCTTCAGTTTCAGAATGTGAAATGTCAGAATAACAGTATTTGGTAGCACTGCCTTTAAACTGTTTAACTTGTGTCAGACGTCTCAGGTAGCTTTCACAAGTTTCTCACAGTAAGTTGCTGAATCCTGGTCCATTCCTCCTGAATCAGGGTTTCTTGCTCACAAACACTTTTTCAGTTCTACCCACAAATTTTCAGCTGGATTGAAGTCAGGACTTTGTGACGGCAACTCCAACACAGGACTTTGTCCTGGAGCCACAACGTTGGAAGTATGCTTGGAATCATTGACCAATTTGCAACCAAGCTTTAATTCATGGCTGATGTGTTGAGATGTTGCTTCAATACCCCCCCCCCCCCCCAACAACATGATGCTGCCACCCCTGTGCTTCACAGTTGGGATGCTGCTCTTCTGTTTACGAGCCTCAACCTTTCTTTTCCAAACACAGCGATGGACATTAGGGTCAAACAGTTCAATTTTAGTTTCATCAGATCACAGGACATTTCTCCAGAGAGTCAGATCTTTGTCTCCATGTGCAGTTTCAACTGGAGTTTGTTTTTTTTTTGTTTTTTTTTTTTAAATGGTGGTTTTGGAGCCGAATCTTCTTCCTTGCTGAGCAGCCTTTCAGGGTATGTTAATGAAAGACTCATGGTGTTTAAACTTGTGTACTATTGTTTGTTCAGGTCTTGGCTGATTTCTTTTGATTCTCCCATGATATCAAGCAAAGAGGCTCTAAATTTGAAGGTAGGCCTTAAAATACCTGCACAGCAAACCTCCAATTAACTCAGATTATGTTAATTAGCCTATCAAAAGCTTCTAAAGCCATGGCATCATTTGCTGAAACTTTCCCAGCAGGTGGAATGCACAGTGAACTTGGTGTATGTAAACTTCTAACCCACTGGAACTGTGATATGGTGAGTTAAAAGTGAAACAATGTGTCTGGAAACAATTGTTGGAAAAATGACTTGTCATGCACTAAATAGATGATGACCTTACTGACTTGACCACATCTGTGGAATGGTTAAAAAGAGTTTTAATGACTTCAACCCAAATGTCTGTAAACTTCTGACTTCAACTATAGGTGAGAAGATCAGTATCGATGTCATATCTTAGTTTCCATGATATTTTTGTACTCACCAAGCTGAGATACGGGAATACAGTGACATCAGTGGAAAAATACACAGATCATCTAAACCACTTTACAACCAGGAAGTGGGTCTGTACACTGTGAGGGACATTTGGGTCACCCATGACTTTGTTTCTGTCTAACTGTCTGAAAATAGCAAAAATTCTTGTTACTGTACTGTAAAATATTTTTCTTCTTCCTGAAACCCCTCTCATCATAGTATCTATACAGTCACCCACAGATTTTATATTAATCCTACACTGTGATGAATTTATTGGCGCCACAACTGACACTATACAGTTTTACAACATGCAGCTCATTAGAGGTGAAGAGTCAGTCAAGAGATCAAATGTGATCCAGTGGTTAATAATTATCATCCATTATACTGAATGGACATTTGATGTCACCTTATTTCCAGCTACTGTATATTATTGCTCTGTGATGCTGAAGTAAGTCTAATTCATGTGCGATTGAATGTTACGTTTTAATACTGTGGATGTGACCAATGTGACCCTGACAAAAATAGTTCTTCCAGGCATTTAAGGTCGAGGGTCCGTATTCACAAAGCATTTTATCCTACCACTAAGAGTTCTCCTATGTCGAGCTAAACCTTTTTAACTAAAAGTTAAAATTCCTATTCACAAAGCTGCCGAGACCAATCTTTTACTAAGGAGAAGTGAAACCTCCTGAGCTAAGAGAGCGACTCTGTTGCTATGGCTGATGTCAATTTACACCGACGAGCTCCTTTGCAGGAACCACAGCGATTGGTTGATGATAGACCGTTTGTGCCAGTGAAAACACATGCGCAACATCCTGCAGTAATAATAAAAAAAAAACACTGAGAAATAAACAAATACAAATTAAATAATAATGGATTTGTCTGGTGATGGTTCAATCATTTTAACATGCTTCCATTTCTGGCAGCGATCACAGCAGGTAGACCGACCATGAAGCTGCTTTATTTCTCTGGAGTTGTTGAACATCTAAAGGAAATCGTATGACTCGATCTATGATGTCGGATCAGAGCGCAATTATTGTTTGGTCAATAGATGGGCTTTTCTCTGTTGCCAACTAGCGTAGCTTTGCACACTTAATTTCTGCACTGATCTGGTTGTTTCGGTTGGTAGAAGATGTTATTTAATCCCTCACAAACTCCACAACGATCATTATTCTCTCATGATTGAGTCGTATCTTTTTAAGTAATTTAGCATCTAGTAAGGTTTCAGGAACACTGTGACGTGGAATGACAGCAGCTCTTTAAGATTCTTTGTGATTTGGTCTTAAGCCGCGTTTTCACCGCAGGAACGTTCCCCAGGAACCAGGGAACTTTTGAGGAACGATGCACGTTTCCACCGCAGGAACCAGGGGCTAAATTTAGTTCTGGGGTAATTGATCGACCCCCAAAAAAGTACCTGGTCGTACTTGCTGCATCTTATTTCACCCACCATGTTTAAAAGTCCATAGGGGCCGAGCACTGAGCGAGCGAACACATTTTCCACACAGCGAAACAGGTCCAGGAGAAGGTAAAAAAACTGAAACAGGACTTTAAAAATATAAAAGGACCACAAAAACCGGAGTGGCTAGGGTTGCCACCTGTCACATATAATACGGGATCATCCTTTATTTGAAAATAAAATGCTTTTAGTTCCTGAAAAGAACTAAAAGTTCCAGGTAGTTTTTGGTTGAAACGAAAGTTAGGAGTCATCTCAACTCTTCTAACTTCTCCCAGACTTAGCTGCTACTTTTAGCGCTGAGTGGCTTTGTGAATTACTCTTAGTTAGAAAAAGTCCTTAAGTTAGGACTGACATGCCCATTATTTTTAGGAGTTTCTCCTAAATTGGCAAGTTAGGAACTTTTAGCCTTAAGATGCTTTGTGAGTACAGGCCTTGATTGTTCAGCATTCATTTCCCTGTTTGAGCCTTGTAAACATAAATGGTCCTCAATGGATGTTCCCTTCACTTAATTGCTCAGAATCATAAATATCAAAGAACTATTCTATTTTCTTTTTAGGTATTTATCTACTCGAAAATATTTTTTTTATCCCGTTATCTCGAGATGCAGCTTTGTTATGTTGAGATAACGTAATAATTTTCTTGTTATCTCAAGATCACTGATAACAGAGCTTCATTTTCTCTGGATAATGTAACAATTATCTCGTGAGCTTGAGATAACGCTAACGTATAATGGAGCTTTGTTTTGTTAAGATAACAGGAAAATTGACCCATTATCTTGTGATAACCTTAGTCTACAGCCGGTCTAAAGTTCCTAGGCCATGTAAAACCTTTAGGACCCAGATTGTTAGAGAAACTTGAGTCTCTTCAATAACTTTTCTTCTCAAGACGTATTTGATTGAAATGAAATCTGCTCAGGTATTTTTTTGTGGCATGATAAACCATTCAAAGAAAATCTGATTAACATGTGATGTTGAATCTGTTTAAGTTTGTTCAGACCTGTAGTGTATCCTCAGAATAGAAAAAAAAAAAAAAAAAAAAACCCAAACAGCCTTGCATCAAAGTGAAAACTGTCCCGCCCCGTCTGCATGGCACAATGAATCTTAGAAGTACAAAAGAAACAAGTACAGGAAGAAGAAGAGACAAGAATGGGTCGTTACGCACCATTTGATGAAATGGTGCCATCTTCGTATTGCTTAACTAAAATAACATCTACAAAGTCTCGTGGAGCTATGATACCCATAGCTGCTGAGGGCGTGACTGTTCGGCAGATAGAGATGTCCTGTGCGAGAGTGGGAGACAAGGGAATGTACTCAAAGACTGACTCAAACACAGCTAAAGCAAAAATGGATATCACCTCTAGTATCACATGTATGCGTTTAAAGCTGCACTGGGCAAGACTTTCATTTTAGAACAACATATGTGGATTTGTCCTAACTTAACAAATTGAGTACGCTGGGAATGGTAATTGGCGAGACAAGATACGAAGTTAGTATCTTTTGGTATGAAGCCTCAGTGTTCAGTTGGGTTATTAAGCCATGAGGCATGTATGCAGTTTGATGATATCATAACACTTGATTTCTGGGTATTGCGGGTCAAAGTTACAGTTTCCAAACACGTTATCTGCCATGTGAGGTATGTTTAGACACCGAGTGCAGCTTTAAAGCAATTCAGACAATCTTTGATGGAAATCAAAAGAAATGTGTCTACTGCACGGAGAGACGACTGGGTTAACTAGTACAGGACGATAACGACAAAACATCAAAGTAACACACCTCTGTGATTTGTTCTAACAGCTCAAACTTTTTCACATTGTTGTCCCATTTGACTCTGTGCCCATTGGGTACTGGTTTCAGGCACTCCCACACTTTCTCCAGGCTGCCGCTGACGATTCCCTCGCCCCTGTAACTGCAGAGGAAGCCAGATGACAGGACACAGTCAGGACAGCACTGTAGATTATTAAGGCGTGACTCTGCTCTAAATTAGATTCATACATTCTTGGAAAGGCAAATTACTTAACATCTGCACACAGATAAACAGTCCTACTCTACACACCATATGTTTCAAGCTCTGGGCGATTTTTTAGACCATATTTTCCGTAAATATATATAATACACAACTTATTAATGAAAAGAAAATATCATGGAGGCAGAAAAGAGTAGTGTACCTCTACTGCAATAACTGAGGTTTTCATGCAGTGGCCTAATCTGTCCTGCAAGTGACTTGTTCTGATGTCTTGTGATTTTTAAATGCATCCATGAGTGTGTGGTGTACTGTGCAAGGCACCTGGAGTTCCATAATAATAAATAACTGAATTATAAATCATGATTTAGTCTGATGCCATGAGTGGAAGAGCAATGGGGCCGTGAGACTGTAACCGTCTGTCTGTAATTTGACTGGATGTTTTGTCACTTTTCCAGGACTGACAGGCTGCACAAAATTCCAAACATTAGAAGCAGCACTACACTGTACATTTTTCTACATTTCTGACATGGTCAACCAAAGGGACTTTCAACTCACAGCTAATAATGCTTTTAAGATAAAGAAAATGCCAGTACTCATAGTTAAATAGTCTTGTTATTTAATATGTAGCAATATTATATATTATTGTCCCATATTAAATAAAAAGCAGAGTCAGACAAAGTAAACAGCTCCATTACTGGAGTCAGAGTATAGATCCTCCTGGTCAAATATGACTGAAACAACCCACCTGCCTTTTTTAGTCAGTGATGAAGTTTGGTGTGGTAAACACAGCAAACATTTCAAACTAAATGAATCTTTCTTTATTTGTAAACCTTCAAACACAGACCTCAGATCAGACCATGGTCTCTGGTGAGGAAGCTTCTGCCTCATCTTTATCTAATGTCGCCACCGGTTCAAACATGACTGACAGTGGAGGAGTTGACTGTGATTGGTTTTTCTCCTGTGACGAACACTGTGTACGGTCTATCACATTTTCAAAATAAAATAAAAATTCATTCAACTGAATAAAAACTCTGCTTCAAAGTAAGAATACTTCATAGAAATGTAGAGGAGTCAAAAGTACAATATGTGTTTAAGTGTCTTTTAAGTCTTTTAAGTAAGTCACAAGTTTCTAAAATAAAATAATACCCAAGTAAAGTACAGATACTTTAAAAAAAATACAGTAATAAAGTGTACTAAGTACAGTACTTAAGTAAATCTACTTAGTTAGCATCCGCCCCCGATAAGATAATAATGAGTGCCGGCATTTTCTTCATCTTTTTGAGTCAGCTACGAGTTTTCAGGATGTGGAGCTGTGCACACTGCCACCTTTTTTTTGTTTTGAATAATATTTTTACAATGTTGTGTAAAAGCTTAAATAGCACCAGTGATAAGCTCACTACAAACTCACCACCTCTACCACAAGTTGTTTCCTGGCAAATATCTTGCTTTTCATTTCATCAATACAGTTTTTGTTAGCATCCTGTGTAGGACAGGTAGTATTATAAAGAAGTGGTCACAGTTGCAGGCACAAGGCCTGACTGTTATTCTTATCCTTCTGTTTACACTTACACCTCAGCGGTGTGTTATTCTGAAGATTACTACATGCATTTCATCAACGTTCATTTGTTGGGGAAATCTGAACTATATGAGAAAGAAAAAGAGAAGTTGAGGTTTCTCACACATTCCCCGGGAACTCTGACGAGGGACGCCAAGACACAACCACGTCGTTCTGCCAAATAAAAACAGCAGATTTACAGTGAGCAACATTTGCCTGTAATGAATGGCCCTGGTACATGCCACTTCCTCTGACACACTACACATTTCGTGACCGGCTGTCTGTCACAGACAGAATCTGATATTGCCTGTTTACTTTGTGATTCACTGCCCTCCTGTGGCTTGTGTCTGCTGCCTCTGGAAGCTAGCTTGACTTCCAGCCGTTTGCATCCATCAATACCTGTCACTTCCATGGGCGTGGCAGTGTCCCGTTGACAAAGGCTGGGGCTTGTCAGGCAGGGGAGAGAGCAGCATTACGAGGTAGCAGTAACAGTAAATGAGCAAATTTCACCGTGACTCATCTTCTCGAATCGGTTCAATCACCTTGGTCAATGTGTGATGGCGAGGAGTTATGGTTGGTTCTTTGCTCTGCTCGCCTATCTGTAAAAGTTGCTGTACGCCACAGACTGTCAGTGTTGATGTGCGGCTGAACGAATTCTGACAATACATGAAATAAGGAAGGATACATTGAACTCAGAAGGTATTCTGAAAGTAAACTTTGCAGCAGATTAACACTGGGTAGTTCCTTCCTGTGTTCACAAAACAACGTCAGTTCTTTGTGACATGGATTCCACAAGGTGTTGGAAACATTCCTGCTCCATGTTGACATGATGATTGCGTCACATTAATTCTGCAGATTTGTCAGCTGCACATTCATGTTGCCAACCTCCTGTTCTACCACATCACAACGGTGTTCTGCTGAATTCAGGTCTGGAGACTGGGGGGTGGGGGGGGGGGGGGGGTGTCACTGAAGTTCACTGAGCTCACTGTCATGTTGATTACACCAGATTGAGACATGGAGCATGATCCTGTGGAAGGAGCCATTAGAAGATGGTGAACTGTGGCCATGAAGGATGAACATGGTCAGCAACAATAACCAGACTGAAAAATTAGGACCATGATTGATTGGTGTTAAGAAGAAAACACTCCCCACACCATCACACCTCCACCACCAGCCTGGACTGTTGACACAAGGCAGTTTGGATCCATGGATTCAGACGCTGACTCTACCATCTGCTGCCTCAGCACAAATCCAGATCCATCAGACCAGGTCTTCAGCTGTCCAGTGTTGGCGAGTCTGTGTCCACTGCAGCCTTGGGTTTCTGTTCTTGGTGACAGGAAGTGGAACCTAACGTTGTGTTCTGCTGTTGTAGGTTGTACGTGTTGTTCAGTCTGAAGCTTCTTAGCTTAAAGAGTGGTTATCTGAGTGATTGTAGTCTTTCTGTCAGCTCCAACCAGAATGTCCATTCTCCTCTGACATCAACAACAACCTGTATCTGTATGACTTCATGCACTGCACTGCTGGCACATGATTGGCTGATGGGATAAAGGCATGAATAAGGAGGTGTTCCTAATAAAGTGCTCAATGACTGTATGTTCAAAACTGGTTAAGCTATACTAAAAACTTAAAAATAACTGTAAATACAACCACAATTATACTAATCTTCTAAATCTAAACCGAATATTATGGGTCAAATAGAAATGAGCAGCATATTCATGTATTATGTTGACATGACAAACAGAAATACTGCATTTTGCAAAGAACAGTGGTGACAAGCAGGCCCTCCCAACCACCATCACTGAAAGACAGTCAGTGTCTAAAAGTTCCTGAGTGTCAACAAATGCCAAAAACTATGGACTCAGTAAAAGACGTCTTCTGTGTTTAATTCTGTTACTCTGTCCATCCCCTGTGTCTGAGAGCATTTGATCACTCTGGTATATCTAGTAATGCAAGTGTTTTACTTCTAAAGCCTGTATTTTGGAAGTTGTTCATACTTCTCTTGACTGAATGGTGCATTTGATTACAGTTAAAACCAACAGCAACTAGGGGAGCCCGGGGGATGGTTGTAACATGAGTCAGTTGTAACACTTCCAATTTCTCCTATCAGGAACAAGTTACAAATCAACTGATTCACTCTATATCTGCTCTATTTAGTCCTTAATTTAGAAGGAAAGAAATTAGCACTGCATGCTTTGTAGGTTAACTCTTCATACTTATGTTGTGTTTATTGTTAGTATATGTAGATATTTTCATGCATGTTGTCAATGCTAATGTAATTTAGCTGCTGGCTGTAAGTTAAGCTAGTTAATGGCTCCAAGAGAGAGAGACACAAATGTTCAACTGTGGAATCTGGTGAACATTTGCACATTTTGTTCAAATGTCTTATCACTACTATGACTGACAGTAACATACTTGGCACACACACACTCCAATTATGTTAAAAATCATTTAAGTGTTGAATGAAAATCTTTCAATATCAAGTTTTTGTCATGATCCTTATGTTATAATGTTACATTTCACCTCAGGGTATGTCACAACTAATCTGGACTATGTAGTGAAATGTAACATTTGTTTGAGAATAAACCAGACATGTTCTGTGTTGCAGAGATACTACCTACTCCAGTTAATAGCAGACACATGGAACTAGTTAGTACTAAATTTTGAATGCACTGGCTTAAAAGATACAGACAGAAATGTCGAAAACATTACAACCATCCCCAGTCTCCCTTAATTGTAAAAATTGTCTTTCTTAAAACTAGCTTGGTGTTATTTGGGGCCAAGTTGAAGAGTTAAGTCTCAAGTTTCGTAACAGCTTTTAAACTTTTAACGTCAGGTAGGCAACATCAAGTCAAACTGTCATCAAAGAACCTGCCTGCTGGTTCTCTACACCAAAGAACGGCATGTTGAAGGGCAAGAGGATACAAATCGTACAATTTAGTATCATACAATACCAAGAAACATTTACCGATTTCTTGCAGACTTTCCATCCGGACTCATCCCTCTTGTAGCTCAGCAAGCAGTCAGCCACTGCCTTCGCTTTATGTTCATAATCCATGATAGTTGGTAAAAGTTAACGTTACCTTTGCTAACCTAATTCACTTTGCGGAGTAGCTGTCGTTAAAGCAGCTAAGTGGTCGACACACGCAACTGTTATTTCTCAGTTCAACAGAAACTCGAAGCCACACTGTAGCTGAACTATGTCACGCAACTTCATTAGCAAAAAGTACCTAGTGTTATAAAGTCGACCAAACCCTGGTCAGGTGAGCGTGAACCGCCAAAGCTAGTGTTAGCCAAAATGAATGAAACGTGCTATGCAAAGACGCATCGTTTACTAACATGCAGCTAGCTCGCTTCGAGGTTACGTAGCCTACGTGGATAAAAAACGGCATCCACAACTGTCAAGTACTGGGAACTGAAAACCTTTAACTGCCCTTAGACTACACAACGGCCCCCATCAGTCTCAGATGAGACATTAAAATCCAAAAGTAGTTGAATGAATTCACTGAACGAGGAGAATCGCCTGCAAAAGATGTCAAATCAACCAGAAAAAATACCCTTCCGGCTATGGCATTCAAAATAAAACATGTATTCGCAAATGTATGTGTCTGTGATCATGTACCATGTGCCGTAATACCATTTTCTGTATATTTTCAATAGCATTCAGAGATTTAATCAAATAGTACGCTAGTAGTTTGAGCACACCGACACTTTTAATGAAGCGACAAGTTCCACATATTTTATTTTGAAAGCAAAACCGCCCGACTCTTTCTTGTAATCTGGTTTGCTTCACTCACCTGCTGTTGGATCCTTGCTTGATGCAGCAAAGCAAGCTGGGAATTGTAGTAGTCACTTCAATCCAGATGTTTATTCAGAGTACAAGACTGATGAGTTTTTATAGAGATGATTTTATTGTAACTGAAGTGTAATTATTCAAGCTGTACAACTTTTAATAGCTTACGTTACACTGATAGTCAATGTCATGTTTTATTGTGATACACATTGCTACAATAACTCATAATTAGCTGACACAGCCGTTTCAAAATGATACAAGACCACACATATGGGACACACATTTATAATAATATACTTTCTGTGCTTTCAGTGCAATGTATCAACTCTTATTGGGATATATTTGTAGAGAGAGAGAGAGAGAGAGAGAGTGAGAGAGAGAGAGAAACATTTTAGCAGAATACATCATTTTAGCAAAGATGTCATACATTGGAACAGACCAGGTCATTTGACTCAGTGACATTTAGATCAAAGCTGGTTTTTGACTTCTTTTTGGCCAGCTTTCCTTGCTTCGCATCAGACTTGAGATAACGCTCCTTATTGTGGATAACCTGAATGTACTGGTCAGTGCTACTGTTCTGTTGGTCACTGCTGGAGGCCAGGGAGGCCGAGTCTGACTCGGTCAGAGGGGTCTCCAGCTTCGGTCTCGTCTTGGGCTTCACATAAGATTCCATGTGCCTGGTCCTAGCTGGGGACTGACAGTGTCTTCCTGGGGAATGGATATGATGCCTGGTTCGCACAAGAAGAGGGTCTGTTCCTCTCACACTGGCCTGGGACCGGGCATGTGATTCCAAATCCCCCCAGTCTATTTCTCCTTCACCATCCTCCTCTCCATCCTCTTCCTGTGCTCCATATCTTACTCGAGCTGCGTGCCTGTCTTTCGCCATGGACACGTGGCTTTCTACACGGTCACCAATGTAGAAGTGTGCTGGTTGATGGAGGTCAGAGAGGGAACGGGGCCGATGAGCCTTCCCTAGTGACATCCTTCTCCTGCCTTTTCCTTCTTCTTCCTCCTCTTCCTCTTCACTCAGATGCTGCTGTGATGGGTGGGACCGGTGAGGATGCGGTTGGTGGTGGTGAGTGGTGCGGGGTGTGTAGCGTTTGACATTGCATGGGTACAGCTCCAGGATCTCTGCAGGCTCCTCCATGAGGTAATGGCGTGGGATCCGAGTGGCTGAGCGCAGCAGCTTCTTCCTGGGCTCATGCTCATTGACAATCACGTAGCGGGTAGTGTGACCACGCCGTCCTCCATAGTTCTGTGCAGCGATGAACCCAGCAGCTTCGACGGGGTGTATGGAGCGTATGGTCTTCCTGTACAGGGGGTCAGAGTGGATGTTGTCAGAATAGCGAGCTGGGGGATTGTACGCCATGTGATGGTAGGACTTGGACCTGCAGGTTCCACTAGGGCCACTAAGAAATGGTGGGGGCCTGTATGAGAAAGGACAACACATAAGAATCAGCTTATGTAACATTATTGTCTGTATATTATTGCATAATATTAAAAATAATGTTAAAAAGCATGGACTGATTTGAAATGTCTGCACTCCAGTGGCACAAAGCAGACATGATGTTAGCTGTGATTGATAACTAAACAGGTTGGCTGTCAAATACTGAAACGAATGAACAATGGCTGCACAGAAGCTTAAGAAGAGAAAAAAACCCAAAAACTTTGGCATGAATTGTATATTGGTCAGTGATGATGTAATGTAGATGCAGTTTGAACAAACATGGTCTTAAACATGCAAAAACTACCAGTATAGTACTTTAAAGCCAAACTGCAGCATGTTTAAATTTGACCTTTTCATGCCAAAAAAAAAACATTCACATAACTTACAAGTACTCAGAGCTTCCCAAAGAATATCATTCTTGTGAGGATGGAAAAGAAACTGAGACAGCATTTAGAAAACTGTCCACTGAAACCCACGTTAGTGCTAAAGTAGGCACAAGTAGGACTAACAAATACTACAGACCATAATCACAACTCTTTAAAAGAGTGCAATTTTCAAATCACAGGGGCCAGTGCAGTTATGACTTGGATTAACATTATTAACAGTCTTAACAAGCTGTTAGAGTGAAAGGTTTAGTTTCGGCAGCCATAGTTACAACTGTCACTGATAAATTAAGTCAACTGAAAGTGTTGCAGCTGGTAATAAAACTGCCCTATATTCATTATGTAAGAGATAATCTGTTGTTCAAAGTCAACCTGCTTGGCTAAACTAATATATTAGTGCATGTGAAACCTGTTAGGTATATGGTCCAGCCGGTGTTTGGGCAGTATGGTCACTGTTGGACTTCTGACAGATCCAGCCGCACTTCCTCTGTTCAAGTCCGCCCTGGATGCCGATCGGGTGATGGTGCGGATGCTGTTTCCACGACGAACGGGAGACTGAAAGTTTGTTACACTGCCGTTCCGTCGAGGAGATGGAGTGTGGACAGAGGCCTCCTGGCTCGTGATGTCACTCTCCTGCTGATCCAGCTTTTTGTCCACCGCAGCCTCTGTAACCTGTAATCTTGCTAAGGGAGAGAAGTCAGACGTATCAGATAGATTCCAGTTTGTCCATGTTAATTATGATTCTTTGATGCACACAAAAGTTAGTCATGAAGTTCCACAAGGTTCTGTGGACTGATACTTTTCACCTTATATATGTTTCCTTACAATATCAGGAAGCACCACATACATTTCCATAGTTATGCAGTTGACATACAGCTGTACTTATCCATGAAACCCGATAAAACTAATCAGGTGATCAAACTTTAGGAATGTCTCACAGACATAAAGACCTGGATCCTGTTTTTTAAAAAATACTAAACTACTTCTACTGTAAGGAACCATGGAGATTAGTCTCTATTTATATGGCACACTGCATATCATTAACTGTGTGTCTTTTCTCTCCTGTAGAATTTGTTCTCCTCTCATTCAGCAGGTGTCTCTGACTCTGAAGCTGCAGCATCCAGATCTGACACTACCACTCACTATTATCATTGTCATTATTAGTCTTAAATACACATCCCACATTGAATTGAATTGAATTGAATTGAATTGAGTTATTTAAATAAATAATGGAGCACATACAGGAGATCTGACAAAACACCAGAAATACCTGCAGCCATCTGGAAGACTTTCTTCTTGTCCTCAGTCCGCTCCTAAAGAGATTGAAGGAAAGTTCCACCTTTAGAAACACCGAGACCATTAGATATTGTTGTCTGTCATTAGTTCAGGACTGTGTCTAGGGTTATTTTCAATCTTTATCTTTTATTTTTTATTTCTGCCAATAGACTGATTAAATCATTTTGATTAATTCTGAAACAGTGTTGCTGTTGGACAGCTTGATCACGCGTTTATTTTTGGCTGGACCACAACAGCGGGGGCCAGCCCTATAATCTGTCTATAAGATGTCCCTCACTGACTGACTGACTTGATTGACTGACTGACTGACTGACTGACTGACTGACTGACTGACTGAGTGATCATATTTCCACCACTGAGTTGAAGTTTCTGGATCAAACAGGTTCTATTAGGCGGTGTTTACATCTTAGCACATTGTCTCTAGATTTTCAACCAGACTGGGTATAAACTTGGTTCAGGTCTGGACTGTGTATGAATGCTGACCAGGAGCTTAGGGCTACACCTCTTGTTACTGATAGTTTACTGAGCTGCTTTGGTTTTCCAGCTGCTCGGGAACTGCAGGGAGGAGAAAGGACGCTTCAAATACACTGAGCCTCGCCTCCATTACAGCAAATAAACTACTTTCATTCCATGTATCATTATTACTAAAGGAGGCAGAGGAATAACTAAACATAAGACACACCGAGCAGAGAGAGCGGGAGAGAGGGAGAGAGAGAGAGAAGTCATTGGTAACTGCTAAAGAAGCTAGCAGATCTGAATAACACATAAACAACAGAAACACCAGCAACTGGAAATGAGACAATACTCTTAATGCAGCACTGCAATAAAAGTCCTGTTAAGAAAGAAGGGCCACAGAGGGGCTTTAAATTCGAAACAGTTAGAGTGTTGAGTTTGTATTAACATGTAATTAGGGATGTTAATAATTAACCATTTAACCATTAACCGACAATAAGAATTCTGACCGATTAATACTATCAGTTTAACAATAAAAAAGTATGAACAGGCACATATCAGGCACATATCAGGCACTATCTCTGCATCCCTGGGACATCAGTACCATCAGAGCAGGTATTCTACTCTGCATAGTTAACAGACTGTGCATCAGACTAACCCCACAGCCTGTTGACATGCTATTTCTGAACAAAAACCAGTAGACAAGCTGTCCGCTATCCTGAGGACTGAGGAAGGCCTGACCTGTTTATCTTATTTTGAGTTCTGAATAACATGACTACAAGTTTATGTTTTGTTCAACTGTTGGCTCTTTTTGATCATTAATTAGCCAAGAGCGGAGGAGGAGGAGGTTTTCCTTACAGCGCTCTCAGCTCAAACCTTTTTCAAACTTTTTTATAGAAAAAAAACATTTGTTTTATTGTTTTTTTTTTCAATGGGTCACAGACACGCGTTCATTCTAAATGGTACATTTTAATCTTGTCGGTTAACAGTTAATGGTCAGTTAATGAGCGTCAGCTACCGGTCAGAAAAAAAAATTCAAAATGAGCATCCCTACATGTAATCCAGTAACTTGAATACCATGATACAGCTAAAATCAAAGCTCAGTCTTTGTCTTTGATGTGTTTGATGTGTTTGGTGATTTTGTCAGAAGACGCAGTT